GAACTTCCCTTCTAACAAAGGCTGCTTTGTACTGGGGCAAATAATATGGTGGATATGTCATTCCAGAAGTTCGTAAACAGAAACCTAGTGTGTGTGTGTGTGTGTGTGTGTGTGTGTGTGTGTGTGTGTGTGTGTGTGCGCGCGCGCATGCTTTCTGGTATTCTAAACATTTGAAGCAAATGTGAAGGACTGACTGCAATGGATATTATTATTTATGGCTCTAGATGCCATCAAAAGAGCCCACACTATACTCATATGTTACTAGTGGGAATGGAAATGTAAAATGGTGCTGCCACTTTGGAAAGCAGTTCTTTTTTATTCTTTATTCCTTTTATTTTTTATTTTTATATTCCTCAAAAACGTAAACATAGAGTTACCATATGACCCACAATTCCATTCCTAGGTATATATCCAAGAGGAATGAAAATATATGTCCACACAAAGAATTGCACATGCATGTTTATAGGAGCATTGTTTATGGTTGCCAAAAAGTGGGAACAACTCAAATGTATATCAACTGATAAATGGATAAACAAAATGTGGTATATCCATACCATGGATATTATCCAGACATAAAAAGGAACAAAATACTGACACCTGCAACAGCATGGGTGAACTTTGAAAATAACATGCCAAGAAAAATAAGCCAGATCACAAATGACCACACATTTCATAGATTCCATGTTTATGAAATGTTCAGAATAGGCAAATCCATAAACACAAAAAGTAGATGAGTGGCTACAGGAATAGGGACAGAAGAAAATGAAAAATGATGACTCGTGTGCACATTTTCTCTTGGGGTGGTGAAATGTTCTGGAATTAGATAGTGGTGATGGTTGTACAACTTTGTGAATATACCAAAAAACACTGAATTGCATACCTTAAAAGAGTGAATCTTATATGAATACTTTGTGGATTGTATTTCAGTGAAAGATAAATCCACTTCTGCTTGCTTATGTAAAGCTTTTAAAAAAAGATATTAGTGATTCACTGAAGCTCCAGGAGAGCTAGTGGGTCAGACGGTCTGTATACTAGAGACAACCCTCAAATTACCCTGAAAGGGATTCTACTGCCACAGCCCTTAGCACATTCTAGCACCTTGTACCCCTAACATGGAACACAGGATGCCACTAGGTGTCTTGTCCCTGCTATCTAGGAGTCACACTATCTCCCCAACGTCCTGGATTCCACATGTCACGTCTTGCTTTATACTTTCTTCTGGATCTAAATCACTCACAGACATATCTCACTGTTCAATCCCCAGCAGCTGGCCTCTACCTTGACTAAAAGGGAGGCTGTGCAAGAAAACTTCTTGCTGCTATGTTGGGAGACAGAATTCTCAAAGTGAGAAATTCCTCAAGTTAATTTAAGTAGAGCAAGAGTTTTTGAAAGGTGCTGAGCTATCAGAAAAGATGGCACATATCCCTGTGCCTTCTCAATGTATGTCTATGTAATTTCTAGTTTAACAGGCTTTACTTTAGAATAATTGGTGAAAATACATATTTGCAGTAAAAAGAAGCTGAATTAAACCAAGAGAACTTTGGAAGATAAAAATGGAGAAAGGAACAATGTAATGAGCCATAACTATTTCTTCTTTCACTTACTTATTCAACAAATAGCTATTTATTTATTTATTTATTTATTTATTTTAGAGCAGGATTTATTGAGAAGACAGAAAAGTTCCGACAGTGGGAGGGAACCCGAAGGGGTTGCCCAACAGTTATATATTTAGCAGTGCCTATGGCTGTCAGGCAGAGTGCTAAGCACAGGAGACACAACAATGAAGAAGACTCACAAGACCCTGGCTCTTGAGCCCTTTAGGCTACACAGATAGACAAGGAAGCATAATATAATGTGATAAGCAATGTAATCAGATATGAAATGGGGCAAGAGGAAGGACAGCTATTAGAAAAAAACCTTCCCTTTTATTAACAAATGAAGCTTTCTCTTGTGTCACACAGAGAGCAAGGATTCTTTTATAGCCTGTTTAGAAAATACACTCCCCTCCTCCAGTTGCAGTCAACTTTATAGGGCAATAAATCAATTGTGAAAGAAGCTGGCCCTATCAGCCTGCTCACCTTTGTTCAGTGCTCCTCATGAGTCTGAGGGATAGACAGAGCAAAGAAAAAAAAAGCAAGGCTATGCGGTAAGTACTCTTCTTTATTCTTGTGTTGCTTTGAACAAGGGGGGAGGATCCCTTCTTTTTGTAAGTTTTCCTGAATCCTGCTCTGTTAAGTGTCCTGGATGCCCATACTTTTCTTCTAGACCTGGTATGTTCTTCCCTTTCCATAAAGGACGACAAGTGAAACTGAGATAATATAGAGAGAGGAGAGGTGTGGGGGGTGGTTGGGGGGTGTTTATGTTTGTTTAGGGGACAGATGGGGAGGGTCTAGTGCTCACTGGGAGGAAATCAAGGGGGGGGGACAGAGGGAATCCTTCTGAAGGTGGCAAGGATTGATTCAGAGGAAGGCAAATGTATATCTTAGCATTGGGCAGGAAGAAATTCCAAGTAGGGAAGAATTTTTACCTTCAAGAATCTTCACTCCTACCCTCTGCCTGGATGACAGTATCTCCTATAGCAGGAAAACGCCTGGGGTTGTCCCAGAGCGTCCTTAAACTTTCTTAGTCACTGTGCTGAACCTGCTCCTTCAGGAGAATCAAGGAGCTGTGGAAGAGGTGCCTGCTTCTGATTTCTAGAGGCTGGAAATAAAGTCTCCCTGAGGAAAGAAAGAGATAATACTTGGAGAAGGAGGTTAGTTGATGGATAATGAGTTTGCTGTGGTGTAGAAAAATGGGCTATATGTATAAGAAACAAAGTCTTACATATATGTACCAGACCACTCCTGTAGTAGGTTTCTCACATGTCTCACATGACAATCTCTTCCATTGAAGCAGTGGAAGAAAGATAAGAATTTATCTATACATGATTAATTTTTGTAGAAGGACTTGGGTTAGAAGCAGGGAGATGAAATAGTTTTTGCAAAATAGTTACGTTCTTTTTGACAGGTAGTACTGGATGAGAATAAGAATGTAGGTGACAGAGGTTGAACTTGAAAAGAAGGAAACATTTTTTTAAAATTACTGCTGTGAAAAACTGAGAGAAGCCAGCAAGATCATCAGTTAGCTTGCCGGCTTAGTTGGTTTGAAAGATTATGGGCCTCTGTGTCATCTACCTTGAGTCAGGTGCATCAGCACAGAAGGCAGATGTCTGGATGAATGGTTCCATTATATAGATTCAGCAAATAAGGGAGAATGGGAGATGGGAGCATGGCAAATTAAATAATAGATACTGAGGTCTAGGTCAGTTAGGGATCACAGCCAGGCGGGGCGAAGAGATTGAAAAGTAATAGAAAGAGAACAGAGCCTTTGATGTGAGAATAAGAAAAATTGAAGGCAACGAGGGAGTAGAAGAACATATATTTGTGACCAGTAGATGAGAAGTAGGGATTAAGATTTCAAAAGTGGAACAACTTTGGGGGATAATAAGTTCCAGTGTATAGCTAATGTATAACTAGATGATAAAGTTGGGGCAGGAATGAAAGTCATTGAGGGCAGTCATGGAACTGTGAGGCATCCAATAATGTTAGTTTGACTACAATTAGAAAAATGTGAATACATCCAGAATCTGATCTCATCCTTGTAGATGAAGAAATATAGATCCAAATAGGCAAGCCACCCATTTGTTTGTAGAAAACCAGGACAAGAATTCAAGTCCTTTTTTTCCCCATTCAGTACATCCTCCAATATAGCAAATATTTTGAATCTTGGGCCAGCGCATAATCTGTAAGGTTATAGTGAGCCACCAAATTTATATGAGTCATGTGCTGTAAACACCCAAGCACACATTATACTGAGCATCAGGATCAAGTTCATTTTTGTTACCAGATTCTTAAAAGGATCAATGATCTCTAAACAGTTAAAACACCTCGGCAACATGCCAGGGGAACTGAAAGGAGAAGATTAGAATTCAAGTTGTTCTACTTTCACTTGGCTCCCTGGATTGGATCCTTGGAGAGTAAAGGACATAAATGGGAAAAAAAAAAATAGTGAAACCCCAATAAAGACTAGGTTTCAATTCATAGTAATGCGCCATGGTTCATTTGACAAAGTTTTGACGAATGTCCTTTGGTAATTTAAGATGTCTGCATTAGGAACCAGGTGAAGGGCATATGGGAACTCTCTGTATTATCTTTGTAACCATTCTTTAAATTTAAAAGTATGCCAAATAAAATGTTTATTAAACATGATTGGTAAGCCGGGCTCGGTGGCTCAGCGTCTAATCCTGTGCTTTGCGAGGTTGAGGTGAATGAATTGCCTGAGCCCGCGGGTTCGAGACCCGCCTGGGCAACTTGGTGAGACCTCATCTCTACAATAAATCAAAAAATTAGCTGGGCGTGGTAGCGCGCGCCTGTAGTTCCAGCTACTTGGAAGGCTGAGGCGGAAGGATCGCCAGAGCCCAGCGGATCAAGGCTGCGGTGGCTGGGAGCAGGCTGGGCCACGGAGTGAGACTCCAACTCAAAAAATAAATAAATAAATAAATAATAATTGGTAAATAAATATTCTTTTAATCTAAGAAAGAAGTTTTGTTACTTTCTTCCTGAGTGTACCCTCCTCTCTACTGCACAGGGTGAGTGTGAAGATCAAAGCGATGTCTAAAAGGGTGTTGTGAGCCATCTTGACTTCTCATTTCTCTTTCTTCTGTGTGTTGTTCCAGTCCCTCTCTCCCTCCAATTCTTTATGTCTGATGTACTTTTCCTTGGACAATCCTCTATTCCTGTGCACGTAAAAAAGAGCCCAGAGGTGTTGAATGTACAGGGAAGAGTTAATTAGAGACATTGTGATGAGTGGAAGCAAATATGTTCTGGATTATGTAAAGGATAATGCTGTTGACCAAGTTCATCTTGCAAACAAGACCACATTTTACATACAATGACTATCTATTCTCTTAGATTGCTGTGACTTTATGGTCTGCTTTAATCCAGTTGTCTATGTCCCTCTAGATGGCGATGAAGCTCAGTGCATTGGAGATCCTTCTGATCATCTTCTGCCTAATTGTGTTGGCTGTAGATATCCTCTTGCTGCTTCTTGTGTTGGAGAAACCAGGTAAGGGAAATGTTTGTGGCTGCTGGGTTAGACGGCTGATAAAGGAAGTCCTCACTGGTTGCCAAAGAGATCATTTTATTCTTTCACTCTTCAGCATGCCACCACATTGCAGTATTCAAAATCCACATCCACAATTAATTAAAGTCAGTCTCCAAAAGATGTGTCCTTTGACTGCAACAAAACCTTGATTATTAGTGATATTTGGGGTCATCCAAGCCCCATTTGGTTCAATTTAAGCAAGATGCAAAATTAGGCTCACCAGATGCTTGCTCTTCACCCCAGAGTCATGAAGTAATATAGCCTTCAGTGAGAAAGAACAGTCCAGGTAACAGTGCCCAACCCATTTTATCATGGAAAAGGAAACAAGGTTACCGAGAGGTTAAGGGCTAAGTTGGTTTATCTATATCAATTACAATTAGCCTCCACCCCATATTATGGCTGACTTAGCCATGATTTCTTCATGAATGGTTTTGAAACTTCTCTCTCTCCTTCTTTCACAGACACTCAGAAGCATCAGATGGAATGTCTTCTCTTCCATGCACACATTATACTCTAAATAACAAAATAGCATGTGTAATACACAATCTGTTTTCAATTAAAACTAAATTTGGGGTTTGAAATGCTTGATAAAGCTCACATTATAGATGTAGGTTAAGCACAGTGAGAAGAAGCTGTACTGATCACAGATGCCTACCTGCTCCTCTCTCTTCACCTCTCCTTAGTAAACATTAAACCACTTTGTAGGAAATATTATAGCTTTGAAAGACGATTTGAAAACCATTGATAAACTGTTTTAGGCCTACTTTTACTCCTCCCCTGTAAAACATTTTTGGGTTAACAAGTCTCATGTGATTACTATCCAGTGTATATAAATAAGTAGTTTATTTTATATGAACAAAACTGGATATTCACACCTCCATTCTTTCTTACCCATACTCTGATTTATACAGAGTATGAATCATAATTCCACTTTCAGCTGCTTTACATACTGAACTTTTCTCTCAGATATTTTTTGAGGAAAAATTTCTATGGGTTGGATGGAAGGATTTTTTTCAATTAATTTTTTATTATCATAAGAACACTTAACATGAGATCTACCCACTTTATGGGTACAATGCACTATTGTTTTCTATACACAGATGTTGTATATCTGATTTCTAGATTACTCATCTTGCTTAACTGAAATTTTATACATGTTGATTAGCAACTCCTCATTGCCCCATACCCTGTCAGTTACAACTTATTCTTGTCTTCTATGAGCTTGATTACTCTCGAAACTTCATGTAAGTGGAATTATACAGTATTTGACCTTCTGTGACTGGCTTATTTCACTTAGCATAATGTCCTCAAAGTTCAGTCATGTTGTTGCATATTATAAGAAGTCCTTCTTTTTTTGTCTGAATAATATTCCACTATATGTTTATAACACATTTTATTTATCAATTCATCCTTCAACGGCAATTTAGGCTGTTCCTACATATCTCTTTGGGACTCTGATCTCAATTCTTTTGATAAACACCCACAAGTGCAATTGCTGGATCAAATGGTAGTTCTGTCTTATTTTTTGAGAAAAATCTTTATATCATTTTTCATAGCGGCTGTACCATTTTGCATTCCCACCAACAGTGTACAAGGGCTCAAATTTAATTTCCCTACATTCTTGTCAACTTGCCTTTTTAAAAAATATCATAGCCATTTTAACAGGTATGAAATGATATCTCATTATGGTTTTAATTTTCATTTCTGTGGTGATTAGTGATTTGAGCATTTCTTCACATATCTGTTGGCTACCTATATGTCTTCTGTGTAGAAATGTATATTTAAGTCTTTAGTCCCCTCTCCCCCTTTTTTTGAGTCAGAATCTTACTCTGTCACCCTCTGGAGTGGAGTGGCATGATCATAATGATCTTACAGCAGCCTCGAACTCCTGAACTCAAGTGATCCTTCCACCTAATCATCCCGAGTAGCTGGGACTACAAGCTTGCGCCACCATGCCTGGCTAATTTGTTGTTGTTGTTGTAAAGATGAGGTTTTGCTATGTTGCTCAGGCTGGTCTCAAATGCCTGGGCTCTAGCAATCCACCCACCTTGCCCTTCCAATGTACTGGGATTACAGGTGTGAACTACCATGCCCTCACTCTTTAGCCCTTTTTTTTTTTTTTTTTTGAGTTTTGCCCTTCCAAAGTAGTGGGAATACAGGTGTGAACTACCATGCCTTCACTCTTTAGCCCATTTTTAAATCAGGTTATTCATTTTCTTATTGTTAAGTTCTGAGTTCTTATTTTCTTTTCTTTTCTTTTTTTTGAGTTGGAGTCTCACTCTGTCGCTCAGACTGGAGTGCAGTGGCCGCTCCCAGCCACTGCAGCCTCGACTTGCTGGGCTCCGGCGATCCTTCCACCTCAGCCTTCCGAGTAGCCGTAATAACAGGCGCGCACTACCACGCTTGGCTAATTTTTTTGATTTATTGTAGAGATGAGGACTCACCAAGTTGCCCAGGCGGGTCTCGAACCCGTGGGCTCAGGCAATCCACTCACCTCAGCCTCCCAAAGCCCGGGATTATAGACTGAGCCACCGAACCCAGCCAAGTTCTGAGTTCTTTACATACTTTGTAAAGTAACTTCTTATCAGATATATAGTTTGCAAATATTTTCTCTCATTTTATAGGTTGCCTTTACGCTTTGTTGATTGTTTCATTTGTTGTGAAGAAACGTTTTCGTTTGATGTAGTTCCATTTGTCTAATTTGTTTTTGTTGCCTATGCTTTTGGTGTCGTATCTATGAAATCATTGCCAAGAACAATGTCATGAGGATTTCCTCCAATGTTTTCATCTAGACATTTTGCAGTTTCAGGTGTTGTATTTAAGTCTTTAATCAAGTTTTAAAACAAATTTTTTATTTAAATACACAAACAAATATAAAATCATAAAGATAGTATAGATATTTTGCAGCCTTCTTTTGAATGGCAGCAAAGGTATGGAAGGACATCTATCATGCCCACAGTAACTGTTACCTCAAGTCAGATAAAATTCTGGGTTTCAGATGGCTCACAGAGCCCACAGAACCAGTCCTTTGGCTGTTGTTATGGATGAAGGGTTCTACACAGTTAATAAAGATTAAAGTAAGAATAGCTGATGTTGAGTGAAGGTGTATATTTAAAATGGGACCAATAAATATCTTCCCAGTCTACAGAGGTTGTTGTGAGTGAGTACAACAAAACAAAAATAAGCAAGCAGAAAACAAGCAAACAAAAGACAAATGTGTGGGGCAACTGGATATATACCTATAAAATAATAATGTTGGACCCCTACCTCGTAACATATATGAAAATTAACTCAAGATGAATCAAAGACCTAAATCTAAGAGACAAAACTGTAAAACTCTAAGAAGAAAGCTTAGGTAAAAATATCTGTGGCTTTGGATTAGACAACAGTTTCTTAAATATAATCAAAGTACAGCAACCAAAGAAAAAATAGGCAAATTGGACTTCATCAAAATTGAAAACATTTGTACTTCAAAAGAGATTATCACAAATGTGAAAAACAACCCACAGAATCAAGGAACATATTTGCAAATGACATAGCTGATAAGGGCCTGGCTTCTAGATATGAAAAAAATACTACAATTCCAAAATTTACTTACTTTTATTATAGAGATGTGGGGTATGAGTGAGAATTAACTGCATAAGTAGGCTAGATACAGGTGAAATTTGGGCTTCTGATTGGTCCTTACTCCCCCTCTTTTCCTATTTGAATACCTCTGCTTTCCTTCCCTTGCCTGATTGCTCTGGCTAGGACTTCCAGCACTGTGTTGAATAGGAGGAATGAGAGTGGGCATCCTTGTCTTGTTTCAGTTCTTAGGGGGAATGCTTCCAGCTTCCGCCCATTGTGCAAATTGTTGGCTTACTCTTTTGAAAAATATTCCTTTTATGCCTAGATGCTCAAGGGTTTTTATCAAGAAAGGAGGCTGGATTTTGTCGGATGCTTTTTCTGCATCTAATGATATGATCATATGGCTCTTGGTTTTTCATCTGCTAATGTGCTAAATTACAGTTATGGTCTTTCGGTTGTTGAGCCAGCTCTTCAACCCAGAAATGAAGACCACCTGTCCATGATGGATAATACTTGATATGTGGTATTGGATCTGATTTCATAAAATCTTGTTTAGAATTTTTGCATCTATGTTCATCAAGGAGATTGACCTGTAATTCTCTTTCCTTGTTGGGTCTTTGCCAGGTTTGGGTATCAGTATGATGTTAACTTCATAAAATGAAATGTGGGGTGAAGGGAGATCCACCCTGTGGGCTTGCAAGGCTGGGAGGTAATTCTTCCTGAACTGATGGGTGGGTTGGCTGTCAGCTGCTGGCCATGGGTGCCAGCCAACTTCAGTCTACAGTTGAGCTCTCTCAGCCTGGGAGTCAGCTGCCAGACTTTGCTGGTGAAAGGCGTGCTCTCAGTGGCTGTCAGCCACAGGTTTTGTTCCCTGTTCTGCTTAAGCTCCAGTCACCTGCCACTGTGTCCTGACCAGAACTCCTCTGTGTGGGCCCAATGACTCACATGCAGTTGGTAGGGTGGAAACTGACCCAAAGCATTTTACGATGACTCACCCCTCTCTTTCACTGGGCAGGGCTTCAGTCCTTGTGTGAGCCTGTTGTATGGCTAGGTATGGAGCACTCAGGTACAAGCATCTGCCATAACTTTCTGGTCTCTGTGTGTTGCAAGAGACCTTTGCTGAGTGCAGAGTACTTCACCCGTTCAAAACTATTCAGGGTATCCTCGTCTATTGGTGCCTGGGTCCCCATTCTCTGCCTTGCTCACTGAGAGAGGCGCCAGTCTGCTGCTCCAAAGTGGTCAGATATCTTGGATCTCTCCCAAAAATTTAAAACAAAAAAAATGTAAATGAGCAAGGGATTTGAATAGACATTACTCTACATATCTACAAATGTTCTGTAAACCCATGAAGTGATATTCAGTATAATCAGTGATTTAGGAAATGCAAGTCAAAACAGTATGATACCACTTTACACCCTCTAGGATGACTATAATAAAACAAGAAAGGCAGTAAGGGTTGCAGAGAAATTGGAATTCTCATACATTGCTTGTAGGAATGTAAAACATAGTAACTTTGGAAAAAAGTTTGGTCGTTTCTCAAAAGTTAAAGATAGAGTTAACGAGATGATTTAGCAATTCCACTTCTAGGTATATAACCAAGAGAACTGAAGACAAATGTTCACACAAAAACTTTTATGTGAATGTTAATAGCAGAATTATGTATAACAGTCAAAAGTGAAAACAATTTCAATGTATATCAACTTATGAATAGATAAATAAAATGTGTTATATCCACAATGGAATATGATTCAGTCATTAAAAGGAATGAAACACTGATACATGCTACGTCCTTGGAAACGTTGAACCTCGAAAACATTATGCCAAGTGAAAGAAATGAGACACAAAAAGATATATATCTTATGATTCTTTTTATATGAAATTTGAAATGAGCAAATCCATTGAAATAGAAAATATATGTGTTTACCAAGAACTGGGAGAAAATGGGATATAGGAAGTTACCACTACAGTGCCTGTGATTTCTTTGGGAGTGATTAAATTGTTCTAGAATTAGAAGGTGGTCATTAGTTGCTAAACCTTGTAAAGAACTAAATACCATTGAAAAGATTCATCTTTAAAAGATAAATTTTATTGTGTGAACTATATCTGTTTAAAAAGCAAACAAACAAAAAGTACATATGTTTAACACTTGAAGGAGTGTTAAACATTGTATGCACATGTGGAAACCAGTTACTGGTGATTTGCTGTTTGAAGAATTGCCTGAAAGTCTGTAACTCTGCTAGTTTTCTCCCTGGAAATGTGATTACATTACAAATTGTCAACTTTGTTTTTTAATTCCTGTGCAGATTCTTCATTTACTCCAGAGTGCCCAAAGATTCCTGATTCAGAAAGGATAGACTGTGCACCTGGCCAGGAGGTGACAGAGGTCAGAGAAATGGTAGTCTACTGGGTTTCACTGAAAAGAAATGAGTACGTGTGTGTGGGGGGCTGGGAGGGTGATTGTGGAGTGGTTTGTGGGCTTCTGATTCATTCAGAGTATTTTTTTTTTTTTTTTTTGCCTTATTGAAAAAACCACAACACTAAGGAATTAAGGAAAGCAGGCAGAGAAAAGAGAAGTGTTGGAGGAGCTAACAAGAGTGTTTCAGTTGTGGAGTCTAAAGTCCAAAGTGGACGGTGATTACAAGTGTTGCTGAATGCACCTTAATTGTGATTCCAAGAATAGCTATGGAAAAGTTAAATGTTTGTGGGCTAGTTTATGTGTTCTTTGAGAATAGAGGCCATCAAGCACATATAGATGACTGTGTCACTTGTAGAACTCAGCTGACTTGTTATAATAAGAGCCTTTTAGAATTACTTACTGGCAACAGAGGGCCAAATGAATATGTGTAAAATGTCCTAAGTTTTCTTACTGAGTAACTTCCATAACAACACAACCATTTGAGCCTTGCTTAGATGTGACTTATGACTTTCTAATAAAGTTTGCATGTATTTATATATTTAAATTTTATTTCTTTACTTATTTTACATTCTGTATCCTCTTGTGATATTAATTAGGATTACACTAAATTTTAGGTTAAATTTTAAACAATACTATATTGGCATTTCAATAATTTTGAATCTTCCCGTTCTGAAAGCTTAGGAAGTCTCTCTAATTCAACATTTTCATATATACATGTATTTCTAAACTGAGATTTATATTTATTTTTAATATATGTGTTTTATTGTATATACATTATAATGTTTTCCTAGGTATTTCTTATCTTTAGTTTCTCTTGTAATACAAGCCATTATGTTTTCTAACTGGAACTTCTTTTATTACAATGCTGCTTTTTTTAACTATTATTTTATATGTATTATTTCTAATATTGATGATGTTTATACAGTATATGTATATTTTATTTATTATGTAATTGACCAACTTAAAATTTCTATTATTTATGAAAAAAGGTTTTTGTGGTCTTTCTCTTGATATTAAGTATGGAGTTATAGGCAAATAAGGATAATTTTGCTGTGTTAGAATTTATCTCTCATTCATTGATATATTTATTTATATTGTCTAGTTTTTTTAGAATAATATAAATGAAGTGGTGATGTTTGACAATTCTTATTTTGTGCTTGACTTTGATGAAAATTCTTCATGTAAAGTGTAAAGCTGCTGGTGTATACAATTGTTTTATTTATAAATATTAAGAACCATTTTTATATTCCTATTTTTTGTTTTTTTTTTAAAGTAGAAAGATTTTTTCAACAATTTAGTATTGAATGTTTTTAACATATAAAAAAGTTAAAAGAATTTTACAATACTACCCATTAAATTTCCACTTATTACCACTTAAATTTCACCATTAATATTTTATATCCTTTCTTCTGTATCTACTCTACTCTTGATAGGCGTCTGTGAATTTTCATCTGGTGATATTTTTGAGTCATGCTATAGTGTATGTTTTTTGGTGAACATATGGAAGAATTTTAATTGGATCTATACCTAAGAATGGAATTTCCAGTTCGTAGGATATGTACATGTTTAGTTTTAGCTAATGCTGCAAAATAGTTTTTGTACCAATTTAAACTTCTTTTAGCAGTATATAAGAGTTCTGTTGCTCTATATCCTAACCAACTCTTGATAGTTTCTTCTTTCTCAATATAACCATTCTATGGTTTTAATTTTACTGTCTCTACTGAATAATGAAGTTAAACACCTTTATATTATATGCTTATTGCCCAACTGGATAATCACATTTGTTAAATACCTTTTCAATTCTTTGTCCAGTATTTTTCTATTAAGTTGTTCATCTTTTTGTATTGCTTCTCAGTATAGTTATTTATATATTCTAGGTAAAAATCTTTTGTTAGCTATATACTTTTAAGGATATATACCTTATCTTAATCTGGATTTTGCTTTTACCTCTAACTCTTTTAATGGTGACTTTTGATGGCAAAATAGTTCTTTTTTTCTTTTATTCTTCATTTTATTTTTATTCAGATATATTTAAGGGATATGAATGTAAGTTTCTTTTTTATTATTATAAATATGTGGGGTACAATTTAGGGTTAGGTATACAAATGTTGATTATGCAGGTACCCTTGTTGATGAGTTGTGCCCCTCCCTCTCCTAGCAGTTTCCCTCAACTGCCAATCCCACCCCCCAACAGTTTCCCACCACTGCCAATCCCTTTCTTATAGTATGATAGTTGCTCAAGGTCTATTTATGAGTGACAATATATGGTACTCTGCTCTTTGTTTCTGTGATAGATCACTGAGTATGATTGACTCTAAATCCATCCAAGTTGCTGTGAAGTGATGGCAAATAGTTCTTGTTTTGTTTTGTTTTGTTTTGAGTTGAAGTCTCACTCTGCGGCTCAGACTGGAGTGCAGTGGCCGCTCCTGGCCACCGCAGCCTTGACCTGCTGGGCTCCGGTGATCCTTCCGCCTCAGCCTTCCAAGTAGCCAGAATTACAGGCATGCGCTACCACGCCCGGCTGATTTTTTTGATTTATTGTAGAGATGAGGTCTCGCTGCCCTGGCGAGTCTCGAACCCGCAGGCTCAGGCAATCCACTCACCTCAGCCTCCCAAAGGCACGGGATTACAGGCTGAGCCACCAAGCCCAACTGGCAAATAGTTCTTAATATAGTTTGCTTTATCACTGTTTCAATGATTAGTGCATTTCTTATTTTATTTAAGAATTCCTGCTAACTTCAAGGTCAGATAAATATATTCCTATTTTTCCTTTAAAAGCATTATTGTTTTATTTTTAAAATTTAGATATTTATTCAAAATAGCATTGATTTTTCTGTATGGGGTCAGGTAAGAGTCCATAAATACTTTTTTCCTTTAATTTCCAATAGATCCATTACCCTGTATTAAAATGACCATCCTTTTCTCTGCACCGTAGTGGCAACTTTACTGTAAATGATATGTCTTTATATGTGTGGATATGCTTCTGGAATTCTTTTTGCTCAGTTATTAGTGTGTTCTTTGCCAATACCACATTGCTTGAATTACTACTGGTTTGTAATGCACCTTAATAAGTGGTTGTGTAAGTCCTCCAAATCATTATTTTTTTTAACATTGCCACACTTATTCTTTGCCCTTTGAATTTCTGACAAAAATTTAAAATGAGCTTACCAAATTCCTCACAAAACCTACTGAAAATGTGATTGTAATTGCAAAAAAATTACAGATTAAACTTGGGAAAATTACTATCTTTACAAGAGTGACTATTCCAGTTCATAAATATAATACATCCTTCCATTTATTGAGGTTTTTATTTTTAAAATGTTTCATGTAGAGATCTTACACTTTTTAACTATTTTTTTCTATTTGATTCTATTTAAAGCTTATTTTTAAATTTTAATTTTCTGTTTATGTGGTGATGACATATAATTTTAGAATTGAGTTTTGCATACTGATATTGTAATCAGAAATCTTAAATTTACTTATTAATTATCCTAGTTTGTTTATAGAATCTTTTGTTTTTTCTGCTACATGCAAATAATAACAAACTTTTTTTTCCAATGTGCATTTCATTTTCTTTCTTTACTTGTAACTCTAAGTTTCCTTTTTCTTTATAAATTTTCAGTATAGTTGAGATAGTTTACCTAAAATGCTGTTGCAACTATAGTACGTTTTAGAAAGCAGAACTTTCTGGAGACTGATTTTAACTAAACCTAAGAAATATCATTGCAATAAAACACTAATTATAAAAATATAATTTTCTGATTTTGAAAGAAGTTGGCTACACATCATTTACAAAATGTAAGCATGTGCTAGAGACTATGAAGAAATCTCTGCATCAAATGGAAAATGGACTATTTAATTTTCAAGTCAATTTTTAATTCTTAAATTATGTTAATACTTTGTGATGTAAAGTAACATAAAATCTATATGGAAAATAAGTGGAAGATATTTTTTACTCTCTGGTGTTACAGAAAGAATAGAGATAGGACTCTTATTGTGAGTCACTGCTATAGCCCAGGCATGCATTTAGAAGGTTCTGTGTTATTGTTGTAATAATTTAAAAAAATATATTGCTTTACTTCTGTCCCATTTCCTTTGTCACCACAGTAACACAGACCCTCATAAACTCATATCTGGATTATAAGAATTGACTCATAACAAGTCTCCCTGTCTTCATTCTCTATGTGTATGAAAGAGACATAGGAATTGAAGGATTGAGCAGTAATCACCTCCAAGGTTTGACTTTTGGTGTCTGGGATGTTGATAATGACTTCAAACTAAAATAGGAATGTTAGGGCAGACTGCATATCGAATGTTTATTGCTTTTTATAGAGGCTTGTGGACTTTGAAGCAATTTATGGCAAGGAAACTAACCTTTCAGACTTTGCTGACTTCAGTTTCAGAGGTAGCAGAAGTATTTAATATTTGTCTCAGCCTTAAAAAAATAAATTATCCAGAGACCATCTAGAGTCCCAAGTTCTTTCTCTAATGATCCCCTCCAGCCTTTTGTTATCTGAAGAGAATGAGACATACATGTCAATTAGATCTATGGAGAACAAGCACACTTTAAAAAAACTGTATGGTTACAATGTGGTTGCTTTGTTAAAAATAGATATGAAACATTGATTTGAGTTGTATTCATATTGTGATTTTCCCAAGCAGTCACATCAGGTGTTAGCATCTAAAATACTTGTCAGTACTACAATTTTTTCAAATGAGTAGTTTGTGACATAATATTTTCTTGGTATCACAATCTATACTGAACACACTACTTTAATAAGAATGATCAGACTTTATGGTTATGTACAGAATAAAGTGGGGAAGATCTTATGCATAATTGTTCCTTTGTACCTCCAATTACTTCCCTAGAAGCAAATCAATAGCATACTGTATTCTTTTCTTGATTTTTTTATACATTTGCATACATACACTTATACATTTGTGTGATGTTAACGCAAATTTGATTGAACTATGTGTTTTTATCAACTTGTTTTACAAATTTAAAGCATTTAAATTTACCACATTATAACGTTTCAAAAATAGTTTGTTTCTGTTGAGATGATCATATGATTTTCTTTTGTCAACGTCGTAAATTACCTTAAAATATTTCTTTTTAAAATTTTAAACATGTGGGGTACAATTCAGGGTTAGGTACATAAGTGGTCATCATAGAGGTATAGTTTGGTCCTCCCTTTGGTCCCCACTTTGCCTTATTTGATATCAGGTACCCTTATCGATGTTATGTGCCCCCCTTTCCTTGGCAGTGTCCCAAAAGATTTCTTAATTTTGAACCATTCTAGCTTTCACTTTTAAGTCCTACTTGGATATTATGCATTAATTCTTTCAATCTGATAATAAATCCAAATTGCTACTCTTTTATTAACATTTTGCAAATCAATTTTTAAGTGATGCTGACCCATATATTTTTCTTTGCTTGTTTATCTAAATGTTCTTATTCAGTTTGTTACCAGAATTATTTTAGTTTCATAAAATAAATTAGGAAACATCCCACCTTAGTCTATGTTCTAAAAGTATAGTATATATAACAGAATGATATTTTATTTTCCAGACTATATGGGCAAGATGTCATCTTTTTAAAAGAAAAGATCCTTAACTATTTCTCACAATTTTCCATGATTACTGGTCATTTAGGGATTTTTTTCTTTTCTTATCCAATTTTGACTATTTTAAATTTTACTATGTAAGCCTTCATTTAACTTAAAGCTTCGCATTTATTGGAAGGTATTTGTACAAATAATTTTCTCATAATTCTTGCTTATGTTAAGAAAATTCTGTATATCTGTATTTCATTTCTGTTTCTCACCTTGTTTGTCTCCCTCTTTTTTGTGAAAATAAGACTTAGATAAGGCATTTCTATTTCATTGAATTTTTCAAAAAACATTCTTTAGATTTATTGATCTGCCAAACTAACATCAAAACATATCTTCATTCTACAGTATTATCAGTGTGGAGTTACAACAGAAATTGTTATAAAAGCCATTGGAATATAATAGAGAGCCCTGAAATCCATAATTATGTGTTCAAACATGAGTACTTAAATTTAATAAAAATGACATTTAAAAAATATTTTATTTTATTTTAGAGATGTGGGATATAATTTAGGATTAGGTATACAAGTGGTCATCATACAGGTAAAGTTTTGGCCTCCCTTTGGTCCCTACTTTGCCTGTTTTGAGATCAGGTACACTTGTTGATGTTGTGTCCCTCCACTGCCCTACCCTGGCAGTATCCTCATACTGCCAATTCTTTTCTTATAGTATTATGATAAATGTTCAGGGTCCACTTATGATTGAGAATATGTGATACTCTGTTCTTTGTTTCTGTGATAGATCACTGAGTATGATAGACTCTGAATCCATCCAAGTTGTTGCGAAGTCCTTATGTTTGTCCTTCTTTATGACTGCATAATATTCCATTGTGTATATGTACCACATTTTTTTATCCAGTCCAGCTTCGATGAGCAACACGACTGGTTCCATATTTTTACTATTGTGAATAGAGCTGCAACAAGCATACGTGTGCAGGTATCTTTTTTGTAGAATAATTTGAGTTCCTTCAGGTATATTCCCAATAGGGGAATTGCTGGGTCATTTGAAGGTCAATTTCTAGTTCTTTCAGAAATCACCACACTATCTTCCAAAGAGGTTGTACTAGTCTGCATTCCCACCAGCAGTGTAGAAGCGTTCCTTTTTCTCCACATCCTCACCAGCACCTGTTGTTGTTTGTTTTATTAATGATGGTCATCGTTACTGGGGTTAGGTGGTATCCCATGGTGGTTTTGATTTGCATTTCTCTGATGATTAGTGAGGCATAGCACTTTTTCACGTGTCTGTTGGCTTCCCATGTCTATATGCCCACTTTGTAATGGTCCTGTTTTTTTATTTTTTGTTTTTTCCTTTTAGCACATTAGAGCTCCTTGTAGATCCTGGATTTTAGGCCTTTGTCAGTATACAGTTGGCAAATATTTTTTTCCCATTCTGTGGGCTGTCTCCCTGCTCTCTTGATGGTTTCTTTTGACTTTGCAGAAGTTTTTCAATTTGATGAGGTCCCACTTGTCTATCTTATCTCTTATGGCATGGGCGCTTGGGGGTTTGGTCAGGAATTGGTGGCCAGTTCCCATTTCTAAAAAATTTCTACAAGGATATCTCCTGCATTGTCTAGGTTCTTATAGTTTGAGGTTTTACATTTAGGTGTTTGATGCATTTAGAGTTGATTTTGTGTATGGTGATAGGTAGGGGTCCTGTTTCAATCTTCTTCATGGGGTTAGCCAATTTTCCTAGTACCATTTACTGAACAGCTTCTCCTCTCCCAAGTGATAATAAAAATGACTTTTTGAATCAGTGATGGAAGCAAAGTTTATTTAATTAATGATGCTGCCTCACCTGTGCCTGCTAACTATTTTGTGTTGCTTGAATCTGGATGACTTCTTGAAACAACAAGCGCTCAATTAATGTTTTGAATTAGTGAATGTTGGCACTTGCTTCTTTTTAATTACTGCTTTGAATTTTTATTATTTATGTACATTTTAGGGATTTATTTTGTTCTCTTCTTGTTTCTTGAGTTGTACATTGACTTCATGATTCATAACATTACTTTCTTTCTTTTTTTGAGTCTCCATCCCTTGCCTGCCTTCTTGTTTCTCTCCTTTTTGAGTCTTCTTAGTTGAGTGTTGCTTTCTGAGTCTGTTGGTCACTTCACTTATTTTTCTCCCATATTTTCCATTTTTATATATTATGTTCTGGGGTAATCTTAAACTTGAGTTTTAAAGGTTTTTTTTCCTTAGCATTTCCCTTTTCATTGTTTTCTTTCTGTTAATCATCATTCAGTTTAAATATTGACGATTTTCAAATCCTGTAGTTCAAAATTTTATTTCTACTTTGTTGCTGTTTTAAAAATGGAAGCAATAGCTTCATACTGCTCTCTGAAGAGAATAATTATATTTATTTTGAATGTTTTCTCTATTAACTGTTTTAATTCCCCATTTTGTTTCTTCTGTTTATTAAGTATATAGTGCTGGATTCTCTCAAATGTTTGTTGATTCTTGACTATCATCTTTGCATTAAATTATTTGTAACTGGCTATCCTATCTATCTTGGTTCACACCCCGTATTTATGAGGGAAGGAAAGGATTTCTAAAAGAATATGAGCAATGGGTACTTGTCTGTAGGTGATGATGATAGGGTTTTTGCTGGTACATTATCATGCCTTCTGACACCCAGCATCTCTCCTCACTCCCTTAGCCTGTGAGCAAATACTATCGGCTGCTCACCAACCAACAAGAGCTCAACAATAGCTGTAGGGAATGTTGCCTTGGGCTTCCAGTTAAGCACCCTAAAACATGTCCCACTTTTTGTCGTTGTTGTTTTTGTATGATTTATTTGTTTGTTTATTATAGAGATGTGGGGTACAATTCAGGGTTAGGTATATAAACATTAATCATGCAGGTGCTCTTTAAAAAAATGTGGTACATATACACAATGGAATATTATGCAGCCATAAAGAAGGACAAAAATATGTACTTTACCTTCCACTTCTAACACACTGATTTGCCTTGAAGCAATTATCTTTCTCCTCCTGTGTTGTAAACTATGAATATATTTTTCTCAGCAGTCTATAAAGTCTATTTTCTCTGTTTCAGGAATTTTATATCATGCCTGGCCTGCCATATTGCATTATATTTTGCTGTTTTATGATACATATGTATTTTTTTCTCATTGTCACATCTATCATTTCATATAAATATATTTGAGTGAGGAGGTGAATGCCTGTGTTTATTCCAACATAGTGATACCATTTGTCATCTTTTAAATGTATTTTTCATAAGAAAACAATTTTATATAAATTAATCTGAAAACTGTAGGGCCTTTAGAAAATCAGTCTCACTAACTAACAATAAAAGAATATCCATGGTCAAACCACTATGGGAAACCACAAGTAATTGTTTTTACCTAATAGACATGGTAAGTTTTTATGTCACCTTTTGTCCTAGTTTTATCCTAATTGTCTTTATTTTTCTTTGCTTCATTTTTCTTACTTTTTGGAAATGCATTTCTTCTTGCTATATTTTCACCCATTTCCATGATTCTTCCTCATAAGAAAGTCCAAACTGCTTGGACTGTCATCCATCCCACTCATGGTATGAATACAGTGTGTTTCCAGCGTCTTTTCTCTTATTCAATGTCTTTGGTACAATAAATGTGTGATTGTTCTGAGCCTATCCTGCATTGGTGCTTTTTCTGCCTGGAATACTGCCATATTGTTCCCGGTGCTTTAGGACTAGACTTACCCTTCATTTACCTGGAAGCTCTCCCCATCCCACACCCAGCCTACCAGGCTGCTACAATGACTCTGTACCCTCAGTTTCTGGGCAAACACTACCGGAGCCCTCATGTCATCATGTCATATGCAACTGCTTTCTGAATCATCTGGATTTACTACTGAACTGTAGGTTTGGTGAAGACACAACCTATGTCTTATTTATCTGTATTATCAGTTCTTTGATAGATAATAAATGCATATTAGATGGTTGGATAAAGGTGTGAGTAATTAAAGCATGAATTAATGAATGTAATTATGGCTTTTCTTAAATTTTCATGGGAATAAAATGAACTATAAATAAATAGACAAATAATATTTTCCTTCTCTTATTGTATACAATGCTAACTCTGTGCCATTGTTACAGGATATCTGTATAAGCCAACGTAGGTGTTGCTGGATGCCTGAGGTAGATGCCAATGTCCCTAGGTGTGTCTTCCCCAGGAACTGGGGTTATGAAGTTAGCGATGTTTATAAAAATGAAAGCACAGGTGAGCACTGTTCTGATATTGCCCTGAGGAACAACTTCTTATGGTTCAGATAAGTTAACTGCAAAAATAAAACCTAAAAGTCTCTCTCTCTCTCTCTCTTTCTCTCTCCATTCCCAAATTCCTAGGGTTTACTGCCCAGTTGAAAAGGTTGCCGTCTCCAACTCTGTTTGGAAATGATGTCACCAACACCCTTTTCACAGCTGAATGTCAGACATCTAATAGGTTTCATTTTAAGGTTCGTTTGGGAAAGCTGTGTACCCACACTGGGTTTGAGATGTGGAGGCAGAAGCTACCTCTCTCTCTCTTTGCAGAAATCTCCGGATGAGATGGGCAGGCTAATTGTTATTTGATGGGGCACACATAAGCAGGTGATTTTTCACAAATCAGGAACCACAGGGTCAAGAATTAGAAACTGTTCTCATGAGGGGGCTATTGGAGAGGAAACTTTTTTTATAGCTCTACAGGGAAATGTCTTATCTGCAGTTGTACCTTCTGTTTTTCTTTTGACAGATCACTGATTTCAATAACAAGCGCTATGAAATCCCCAGTGAAGTTATTAAGTCACGTAATGAGACTGCTGATGCTTCCAATTTGAGTTATTACCTAGAAGTCATTAATAAACCTTTCAGCATCAAAATAATGAGGACAAGCAACAAAAGAGTCTTGTGAGCTTTTTAGCACTCTATGCATCTTTGAGTGATACTTTGAGTCCCAGTATCACTCGTTCTGATTTACTGTGGGTGAACTATGAGATAAGAATAACTTGAGAATATGTTTAAGCCTCAGAAAAATGTCAGTGCTTTTACTGTAAATTAGCAATGGTAACCTATCATAATTATACAGCAAAGAATACAAAAATGTAATGTACTACCTTGCTAAGTTATATAATATATAAATATATTACATATCTATATATGTAAGCATACATATTTCATAACTATTAGCATATATATAAGGGTGTTTATTGTTTTGAATGATTATACTGGAACTCAATCTTTGCTCTTTATCATGCCAAATTTTCCTGTGACTCTTATCATCAAACATCTAACAACAGTTTGAACTTTCAAATCACAAATTTTACTGGAGAAAGTTAGAGGTATTACTGTCAGTAAAACCTCTATTCAAATCCTGGCACCAGCATATTAAAAGTCAGCTGTGTTATATCAGCAAAGTATCTTACCTCATCAGCATCAATTTTCTTATCCAGAAAACAGGAGTTAAAATATCCACTTTTGGGCAACCCCTTCTGGTCCCCTCCCATTATGGGAGCTTTTTTGTCCTCTCAATATATCTTGCTTTCTCGAGTAAAATAAAATAAAATATCCACTTTTGCTGGGAGCAATAAGATACTGTTTATAAAGCATCCCGTGTGGTGTCTGCCATGCAGTAGATGCACAGCAAATATAAAGTCACATCACCTACTCTCTTTCCCCAACATCCAACCTGAACTCCTGGTGTCCTGTCACTAGTACTATCTTCCTCTAGAATCAACGAACCAGAAAAGCCCCAGAAAGGCCTTCAAGGGTAGCATGCCAATTGATGATAACATCTGAAACAACTGATCTCTAAGTGCATACAGAAAGGAGCAGACAGCTTCCTGGAAGAGAAAAGAGAGTTGCTCTGTAACTCTTGTTCTTATCCCATGGTCCAGGTTGGACACGAGCATCGGGCCCCTCCAGTTTGCCCAGCAATATCTGCAACTGTCTTTCCGACTGCCCAGTGCCAACGTGTATGGGCTGGGCGAACATGTGCACCAGCAGTACCGCCATGATATGACCTGGAAGACCTGGCCCATCTTCACCCGTGATGCCACTCCCACTGGGGTGAGATTCTCTTCCTCATGCTTCCTGCTCACAGTAAGGGATACTCTCCTTCCTTTCCTAAAGGCAACCTACAGGCATACATCTATGTCTTATTTTTCTCATTTTAGATGTGTTAGTGTTGTTCTTGAGGTCCATATACTCCGAAATATAACAATTCTAGAAATAGAAAATTTTAAGAAAATTATCAATTTTCTAGCAATCCGAAAATAGCAATTTTCAAAATCTTACATGAAAATACAACTTGATTATATTAAAGCCTAATATACATTAAAAAATACTTTGGCAAAATTATGACATCTGGCTTTAATAATTGAGTAGAAAAGAGCTTTAGCAGGAGCCATTCTTAGTAGAACTTAGTAGACCCCAAATGCCTCTTTTGACAGATTTTATATTGCTCTAGGATTTACTGTCAAAATATGTTTCAGAGACAGGACTGTTGGCATGACCTGGGAGGCTGTTAGAAATGCAGAATCTCAGGCCATAGTCCAGATCCACTGGATCCAAATCTGCAGTTTAACATGATCTCTAGGTGAATCACATGCATGTTAAATTGGGAGAAGCACCTCCTGGCTTATCTGAAAAATTAACTTATTTTGTTGTTGTTAATTCAGCACAAGCAATATTTCCGTAAAATACAATTAAAATATATTACTGGGAACATGAAATGTAAAATATCCAAAAAAATACAAAATACAAGTCCAAGTTTTAAACTGAGCAGACATAAATTACTCTTTTAAATTGCTACCAAGACTTTATAAATTCTTATTCTTAACTTTATTTTTGTATTTACCTTGTTACTGACTGAGAAGCAAGGGTTTGGGGCAGTATTGGTCCACAGACAACACTTTGAGTGGCACTGGTTTGTAGCACATGTCTCGAAGACTTCATTGTGCAGATGACATCTCTGTGCAAGAGCTGTAGGTTAAAGTATAGTGCAAAGGAGGGAGGAGACTGACCTTTTGCAGTTCATATTCTGGAGGAGATGAACAAAGCACACGGCAAATTAACTTATAACCCATGCACCTGGATCTGATGCGGTGGAGGAGCACCCCTATTGAACCAAGCAAAGATAAAAAAGCAGTGTCTAGTACATTCATTAAAATTTTTGGTTAAGGATCTTGACAAATACAAAATATTAAGCGTCATATTATATTTGACTTTCTACAGTTTAAACTCCTAAATTGTATAGTCACAGATTAGATTAAATTCATTCCCTCCCTTACCCGCTTCCTTTCTATCTTCCCATTCCTTTCTTCCTTCCCTCCTTCCCTTCCTTCCTCCCTCTTTTCTTTCCTTCCTTCGTTTATTCTTTTCTTCCTTTCTTCACTCCTCCTCTTTTTGAAATAAAATAAATTTTTTGTTTGCATTCCATCCAAGTGTGATGCATTGAATTTTTCTGGTTATACTTTTTATTTATTTTTTTATTTATTTATTGAGTTGGAGTCTCACTCTGTCACCCAGACTGGGAGCAGTGGTCACTCCTGGCCACCGCAACCTCAACTTGTTGGGCTCCGGCGATCTTTCCATCTCAGCCTTCCAAGTAGCTGAAACTATAGGCGCGCGCTACCATGCCCAGCTAATTTTTGATTTATTTTAGAGATGAGGTCTCGCCAAGTTGCCCAGGCAGGACTTGAACCCGCGGGCTCAGGCAATCCACTCACCTCAGCCTCCCAAGGCACGGGATTACAGGTTGAGCCACCGAGCCCAGCTGTATACTTTTAAATCTAGCCTAGGCCTATTGCTCTTTTCTATTTGCAAATTATGCTGATTAGTTTTCTCATCTTCCCTTTCTGGAATTTACCATTATCATTATGATGGTCCTATACCAGGGGCTAAGAGTTTGAAACCACCACATAGGGAACTTCTGTAAAAATTTCTGCATATTCTAAACTTCATATCTTTTGTTCTTACAACACTTAGAGGTACTCACACACAAAGTGTTTCTTTTTATGTCAGTGCTCATCACAGCCCTATGACAGGTCAAGACTATATATATATAGGCTTAAACTCTTTTTCACTAAGTATCATATGTTAATTCTAGAAAGATTTGAAAATACAGTTAAGCATAAAAAATTCAAAATTGCTCATAGTATTATCACCATCTGCTAATATTTTGGTATATATCCTTGAAAATATTTTCCATTTAAAAATAACTTGAGGCCATTGTTAGGCCACTGCAGCCATTGCCTTGCTAAGCTAAGGTGTGGCCATGTGCTCTTTGAGCTATGGCCAGGCCACATTTCATGGCTTTGGCCCCCTCCCCTACCTTGGGGAGCTGAATCTCCTTGTTCTGTCTCTCTAATTTACTTTATAAATAAACTATATTATCTAATCTAAAAAAATTAACCTGATTGAAGTATAGTTTATATACCATAAACCTGTTTTAAGTGTACAATTCAATGATTTTTAGCACATTTACTAAGCTGTGCAATCATTTTTATGACCTGACTTTGGAACATTGTTATCACTCCAGTAGGATCAATCCCGCTGACCTTTTAGATTTATGTCACATTCCCACTCTAGTGCCCATTCTGACCCCTGCACAATTGCTGTCTTCATAGATTTGACTTTTCTAGACAAATTTGATAGAATCATGTAATATATGGTCTTTTATGTCTGTTTCTTTCACTTAGCATGACATTTTTGAGGTCTATTCATGCTGTAGCATGTATATCTCCTTTATTATTGCTGTGCAGAATTCCATTGTATAGCTAATACTACATCTGGTTTATTCATTTGCTGGTTTATGATACCATTTCAATACCTTTTTGGTACAATATTAAACTACCTCAAGTGTTGACCAAGTACGTGTCATAAATGAATTTTTATTTTATTTTAGGGCAAACAAAAACACTTTTGACACACAAAATGCTTTTTTTTTTTTTTTTTTTTGCTGTTAGGACTTGATTAATCTGTATGGAGCTCATACGTTCTTCTTGTGCCTTGAAGATTCCAGTGGCTCCTCTTTCGGAGTTTTTCTGATGAACAGTAATGCCATGGGTAAGAAGCATTGTTATATTTCCTATGGGTAGGAATATGTTTGAGAATTCTGCTTTTATAAAGAAAAAAAGCTTTTAGATGAGATCATGACTTAACAGAGGCATATTGAACCTACAGTATTTCTATCAAAACAGAGACCCGAAAGTAAGTTAGGTTGTCTACAAATACAATTCTTGCTTCAAGTTATTTTCATTGAAAACTGCTTCAGGGAACTCCTTTAATATAATGTTTTCCATATTAGTCTGTAAATAATAGGATCCATTAATAGGCACATTTCACGGATACCTGCAGATTTCAATGTGTAAACCATGCTGTCTCCCTACAGGCCACAAGGCTGTATTTTGTAAGTCATTTCTCATAGCCTGCTCTTTCCCCACTCCAGGAATCTTCCTCCTCCAGCTTCTGGATTAATGGTGCTCTAATAAGCTCTAATGGTGTGCTAATAAAATAAATAATTTTTATGTATTTTAAAATTTTTAATTGCTAGTCAAATTCGTCTAATAAGCTTTTTAAATTTTTTTTTTTTTTTTTTTTAGGTTAAACCACTGGCAAAATCCAGAAGTTTGTATGTTTATGTGGCCAAAATTTTTTTAAGTGTTTCTTTTTCTTAAAAAAAAAAAAAAAAATCCCTCAATTCTTCATTGGTGCCATACACATTTATACATATTTATGAACATTATAAACCTCAACAATCCTCCGATAAAAGGAACATATGTGAATTTCATCCTTTTCAAAATGAGACTGAGACTCTTTTGGATGGCCCAGCTATTCAACCTCTAGAGAAGAGTATATATTCAACCATGAGGTTCTAATAACACTCCTTTAAATCTTTTCAGAGGTCACCCTTCAGCCTGCTCCTGCAATCACTTACCGCACAATTGGAGGCATTCTTGACTTTTATGTATTCCTGGGAAACACTCCGGAACAAGTGGTTCAGGAATATTTGGAGGTATGACTTTGGGTGTATTGCTGTTATCTCATATACCCACTATAAATTAACAAGAGAAAAATAAAAGTTATGAGTAAACTGTATGGATTAGAAATGCTGGCACAGTGTGTGAGCCTCCCGTATATTTTTTGTTTATTTTGTTGACATGTATTGGGCACTTTCTGCATGAACAAGAGGCACTGTGCAAGACTTGAGAAATGCAAAAATGAGACAGGCACCATCCTACTTTCAAGGAACTCATGGTCCATTCATGTATTCCAAGACCAAAGACCACAGATTAGCAAAGTTTATTTATTTGTTTATTTATTTATTTATTCATTCGATAAATTAAAATTTAGTGAAAAGGAATTACATAAAAAAATTTTGCTAGTTATTTTTATTTGATTCAAACTATAGGACAGGAAGGAACTTGAGACATTTTTTAGCACAAACTTGCTACTTTACAGATAAAATAACCTCAGGCAAAGAAAGATGAAGTTATTCATTCAAGATGACATATAAAAACATGAAATATAGTCCCAGATACCAGTGAATTTGTAACCAACTGGAGAAATATGACACAGCCTGAAATAATTGTATTAAAAAGTACTTTGATAAATACTATTAATGAGGCACAAATAAAATGTATGTAATTCAGAGGCATGAGACAAAGCACCCTCATATCAGGCGGTGGTGGGCAGAACCCGTAGGGAGCCATGTGTGACATTTCTGTCTGAAACCATCTCAGAGTGTTGGCTCGAGCAACTTAGAAAACTTGGATTTTAACCATTCCAGGATTTCTTCACCTATCCCGCTCCTAATCCCCTCAGTCCTTATTCCTTTATCCTTAGCACATACCGCTATCTAAACTTGTACTGGACATTTATGTATTCCCTTTAAGCTCTCTGAGGGAAGGAATTATGTCTACCTTGTGACACTATGTTCCAAGTGCCCACATCAGAGCTTGCCACATTGTGAACAACAGTCAGAAAAATACTCATTGAATAATGAAATGTTACTGTTTTTTCCCTCTGAGATGACATCCTTATTCAAGCATTTTCTGCAATTTGTATTGGTTTCTCGTGTTGCTGTTGTGTACTTAGTAAAAAAAAAAGTTGTGATTATGGAATTTTGTGAATTACCCTAGCAGATTACTCTTGGCTCTGACATTTTCAGCTCTGGGAACTTTACAGAAAATAAAATGGAATTTTTGTTTTTAGTGGTTACTCTAAAAGCTTAGGCACCTTCTTATTTTTCTTTTCAGCTTGTTGGACGGCCATTCTTGCCTTCCTACTGGAGTCTTGGGTTCCAGCTTAGTCGAAGGGATTATGGTGGCATTGAAAAATTGAAAGAGGTTGCAAACAGAAATCGTTTAGCACAAATCCCATATGTAAGTTGAAACTTCTCTTATCACGGATTAAGCATCTTTTCCTATATTTTATTTTTGCATCAAATTTAATTTACTAAGCCAGGCTCGGTGGCTCAGCCTATAATCCCGCGCCTTTGGGAGGCTGAGGTGAGTGGATTGCCTGAGCCCGCGGGATCGAGACCCGCCTGGGCAGCGAGACTTCATCTCTACAATAAATCAAAAAATCAGCTGGGCATGGTAACGCGCGCCTGTAATTCCGGCTACTTGGAAGGCTGAGGCGGAAGGATCGCCAGAGCCCAGCAGGTCGAGGCTGCGGTGGCTGGGAGCGGCCACTGCACTCCAGTCTGGGCGACAGAGTGAGACTCCAACTCAAAAAAAAAAAAATTTTAATTTACTAGAAAAATAGATCAATAGATGAGTAGACAGACATATTTACTGTCAGAATTGTGCATGTTTTATCTATCTAGTCATGGAAAGTGCACAATTAAGTCGTATGTACATAGTTTAAAATTTTAACTTTATTGGTTCATAGCTCTATGCATTGTTGGGTTAATTATTTGATATTTCTGAGTCTTCGTTTCTACCTTTGTAAAATGAGAATGTAACACTTACTTTGGTGAGCCGATAGTAAGGAATACCTTATCCTATGCATGTAAAACATCTAGCACAGAAGATGGCCATCATCAAAGTTAGCTGTTATTTTATGAGAAAGCTATACCAGAGGTGACATGGTTAACAAGAGCTAATGATATTGTAAATGATTTGCAGTAGATGAGTGTCTCAAGGTGACCTTGAATACTCCTCTGAGATCTGGGAAACTCTAATTTTGAGGCTCTATAGTTACAAAGTATTTATGATGTTCAATGTCCACCAATAAACCAAAATATAATTGTTGAGTGTACAGTATTTGATAATCTCTTCCAAAAATTGCTAACATATGGTGAATGAAGTTATTACAACAACTTATTTGGGGCTAGCTATTTGGAACTTTGAAACGTTGGTACAAGCAAATGTGTGTTAGCACCTGAAGGAAGATTATATAGCTGGAAATGACTTTGGCCTGATCTTGGAATTCTTCAACCCCCTCTCAAAGTAGCTATGAGGGTAGGCAAGGAGAAATAGGTGGCCAGTGTATTGCTTTGGTGTTAAGGGGAAATCAGTTGTGTTTAATTTCATATTGCCTATATCTGCTATCTGCAAAAACACAGTTCCAGGTGATATCAGACAAAATATTGCCACACCTACCTTTATTATTTTACAAAAGGATTTTACATTCATGGTTAGCCTCCATTTATCATTACTTTATAAGAAGGAAATAGAGATTCTATATTATTAATAACTTTCCTAGGGTCACACAATTAGCTAACTGGCAAAACCAAAATTCAAATATATGATCTTTTGACTCTATGTGGGGTATTGGTTGCAGTCTGTCCTTCTGCCTCTGATAGGAAGGGCTTTTTAGCAGTGCTACTAGTTCAGAAACAGATAAGCTTTTCTTCCATTAATGGTATCTTTCCTATTCATGTTTGTGGAGGACACTGGGATCCTAAATGACAGCCCAGTGTTAGAATAGCTGAGCAACAGGTCACAAGCTACATTTTCTTTTAGGCTTGTAAGATGGAGCCTTCTAATGCATGATACACAAGAAACACTTAGAAGACTTTTGTATGTCTTTGAGGTATGTGGTAGATTGGGAAAAAAAGAGCATCTGGAGTCAAAGGGCCAATTTCAAAGTCCCAGTCGACTCCCCATCTCTCATGACTTTGGGAAATGCCACTTAATTCCTTCACATTTCAATCCTTTTAATAAGAACAATACCTACTCCTCATAGTTTGGTGTGCAAACACAATAAACAATGTGTGTAAGAGAGTTTGGTTAAGTAAGGCTCTATCTCTGTCAATGATCTTTGCTAATCATTCCTAAGCAGTTTTATAGGACAAAAGAACCATTTTCTCTTCTTATGATATATTCTGGCTTGATATTTGAGATTAAGTTGGTACACGGATATAGCATTGCTAATACAGTCATTCAAACATTTAAAGAAAGCCCACTTCATATCAGGCATCAAAGTTTTCCATTTACAGAGATGAACAAGATGCAGTTCCTAGTTACAACATGCATCTATTAGGACAAGGAGGTAAAAATGCAAACTAAGAGCACCTGCATCCTTTCTAAGAGAGCTTATTTATTTATTTAAGAGGTAGCAATAGCCACCTCTTAGGTAGCTGAGCTCTCAAAGTTCCAGCATTATTAAGAAATGTGGGCCGGGTTCGGTGGATCAACCTGTAATCCCAGCACTTTGGGAGGACGAGGAGAGAGGATTGCCTGAGCCCACGGGTTCGAGCCCCACCTGGGCAACTTGGCAAGACCTCGTCTTTACAATAAATCAAAAATGAGCCAGGCATGGTAGCGCGCACCTGTAGTTCCAGCTACTCTGAAGGCTGAGGCGGAAGGATCACAGGAGCACAGCAGGTCAGGGCTGCCGTGGCTGGGAGCATGCCACTACCCTCCAGTCTGGGTGACAGAGTGAGACTCCAACTCAAAAAAAAAGAGAAAGAAATGTGGTTTCAGTTTGAATAGTCAGAAACCAGAGCAATAATACTTTCCATGAGGACAATGATATTCCTAGATTATAACTGGCCAGAGTTATCTTTCAGGATGTCCAGTACTCTGACATAGACTACATGGATGGAAAGAAGGACTTCACTGTTGACAAAAGTTACTCTGATCTCCTAAATTTTACCAAGGAGTTGCATAATAATGGACAGAAATATGTAATTATTATGGTATGTTCAAACACCCCACTGCCTTGTTTTTTCTTTCAAAATGCAAAAGAGATATATAAAATAATATTTATATCATATTTCTTTATTAGAATCCTGGCATCTTGCCAGACTCTAGCTATGAGCCCTATAAAAGTGGAAGTGAAAAAGGAGTATGGATCTTGGAGAACAATGGCTCTGCTGTTGGAGAGGTAATTTATTAAGACAATCAGAATACATTGCAGTCATTTTGGAAAGTTCGTAGTTTGGTATGAATATGGGTGAAAGGCAACTTACAATATTGTTATTGTTTTAATCACTTTATTGCTATTACTATTTTTCAGCCAGTATATGTAATAATAGAATGATTAAAATTCTGAAGAATTTAAAAAGCTAGCCCCTGGTTCTCTAATACCATGGTTAGTTCAGAAAAAAAAAAATATGTTTAGAAGTAAAATGCTACTAAAATCTCTTTTGCCTCCAAATTTCTATTTCTTTCCTATGACAATAAATTCAATAATGTAGCAAGATGCTCATATATTAATGTAGAACCCATCTCAGCTAACATATTTTAAATTTACAAAAGTCTATAGATAGAGCCCAGCGTTGATTCTGAGATAGCAGTTTCAGGCATTGGAATAGGCTGATCAAAAGCCTATATATTCAGGACAGCTGAACCTCCGAATGTCATTTAACCAAATGACATTGGCAACCTTTTATTCTAATTATAAGTAGGATCAGCCCTAAATGATTGGACTATGAAAGATTTACTAAAATTGGTGCTTCACCTAAAAAATTTATGTGACTGCAGTTTGTGTTGACCCTGAGTAGTTTATTTTGCAAAACTGCCCTTTCAGGGTTGATGGCACCTTCCCAAACTGCTCACTTAACTTTTTCATTGACTGTTTACAATGCTTAATTCTAAATACTTTCTTTTTCATTGATTCTAACTTTTTATGTAGCAGACTTCTCCATACCAAGTCTTTGCTTTTACTATTTTGTTAGAAGTGAATTTCTAAAATATCAGGTAGACCCATATTCATATACTGTATAAATACAAAATCAAAGACCACAGTCAAATAAAAATTATTTTGTTTACCTACAATTTTATTCACTTCTATGAGGCATTTCAATAGTACTCATATATGGGTGATGTGTATATACATATATATTTAATTTTTTTAATGTGAGAGTACAATTCAGGACTAGGTATACAAATGGTCATCATACAGGTAACGTTTGGCCGCCTTTTGGTCCCCAGTTCACCTGGTTTAAGATCAGGTACCCTTATTGATGTTATATGTTCATTCCTCAGCAGTTTCTGGTTACTGCCAATCCCTTTCTTATAGTATTATGGTAAATGTTCAGGGTCCGTGTATGAGTAAGAACACGTGGTACTCAGTTATTTGTTTCTGTGATAGATCACTGAGTATTATAGATTCCAAAATTTGCATATGATTACATGGATTTAATTAGATGGTTACCTTTTTTGAACAATAAATAGCATGACTCATTTGATCTAGGATATTAGCAGAGTTAGTACTACTGGAGGTAGATAGTGGTTTACTTTAAATGCATTTGTTTAGATCTAGTTTGCTGGCCTGCTGTAGGTTGAATGTTGCTGTGGGTGACTGCTTTGTGACACCATCTATTTCCTGAGGTAAAAGTTACCTCTAATTATTAGGTGACCATCACCTAAAACAAAGAAACAGTAACTCAACCCATTTAAAGCAGATATTTCAAGCTCCCATTTTGAGTTTTGAGAATTCTCTGCATTTTAAAAACATATATAGTCATTACATTACCAGAGTGTAAAGTTGTTCCTAATTTACAACCTATAAACTTATCGAAAAACTGAGCAAATATGTTGCACAAAAACCTTTAATTCAGAGTTTTCCATAATTTGGCTATGGTTATATCTTTCTGCTGTTTGTAAAAAAAATGTTAAAAGTTACTCTTTGATAGGGATATGTTGAAAAAGGGGATAGAATAAGAAATATTTGACCTGGGTAATAAGCTCACACTTCATTTAATCATTTCTAAAATATTCGTTATGTGCCAAAAAAACAGCATATAATTTATAACCACAATTATTCAAAGCAGACTTTATAGAACCTTTAATTAATAACATTAAATAAATTCATTCTCTTAAAAATATTATATAGTTATACTTTCCAGTATTTTAAGCAATTTGTTTCCCAATTGACCTGACATAATGACATTTTACTTTTTTTTGCAGGAAAGGACATATTGTGGCTTTCATCAATTTTCTCAGTTTTGTTTTTCTTTTTTCTTCTTATGGTTTCTTGCATGTATTTTACTTTTTAGTTTCTTTTGGGGAAGACAAATTTTGTTTCTAAAATGGAAAGCAACATGGGGTTTCTAGTAGGAGAAATCACAGCCAGCAAAAATAAATAACCAGAGCTTCAAATAAACTGATTGCCACAACCTTCCTCTTTGTTCTCCAGGGATATCCTGGACTAACAGTCTTTCCTGATTACAGCAAACCAGTGTGCACTCAGTGGTGGACAGAGCAGATCACTGCATTTCATGATTGTCTGGAGTTTGATGGAGTGTGGATTGTAAGTGATTATTACAGAATTAAATCTCCTTTGGAAACAGATATGCCAAATTTTCAGATGAATTTTGACTCCGATCTGTGATAAAATAGTTTTCTTGACTTAATAGTATTAAAAATTATTTTACTTAATGCTGAGTTTATATCCAAATAATTAAACTCCACAAAGCCCGAGGTTCTTATCCTGAATCTTTCATCAGTAGGTTATTTCATTTTTATAAAGTATTTTGCTTTCATGGTCTCAATTTTTTCTCCATTAGTTGTTGGTCAGCTTAAAAATACTGCTTTATTAAAAGTTACAATTGCTATTATTTGTAGCAGTGGTTCATAAAAATTTAAAGTTAATCATCAGAGAATAATTTAATGAGGCCCTTGTGTTTTTTATGGAAGAACAGCAGGGAATTTCTTTGAAATTTGAAAAGTATCTTTGTTGGTAGGATTAGACATCACTTATTTTTAATTCTTTATTTTTAATTTTATTTTTTGAGAAAACAGGATTTATTAAGCTCCCACAGTGGGAGGGAACCTGAAGGGGTTACCCACTTTTTAATTCATTTTAAATAAATGAATCTGTTCTTCATTATATTCTGCTATTGTTCCTCACTCAGAGGAATAAATGACAGGGAAAATTATAAAATAGAAATGTTGCTGTATCTTAAGTTTCTTTCAAACAATACTGAAACACTAACAACAATAAAATCTTCCTAATTTCTAAGGCAAGGATGAAACTTGGAAATAATCTTTATTAACTGACTGAAATCAATTTATAAAATGTAAAATGTGCCCACTGTCATTTAGAACTGGAATGTACTTTATATATAATCTAATCCAATGACTTAGTTTACAAAACATAAAATAGAGGGCAAGAAAAATTAGATTGGATTATTTGAAATCCAAAAACCAGTTAATAAGGAACCCCAGATAGCCTGACTTCTAGTTCAGTATGCATTTCTCAACAGCTAATTGTGGATAAATAGCATTTTACATGTTGTGTGTTTTGTGTCTTTGAAGGATATGGATGAAGTATCTAGCTTTCTCCAACGTTCTGATCAAAAGTGTGAATCAAACAACTTGAACTTTCCTCCTTTTATTCCTAGTAAGTTCTCACCTGTTTGCTAAGGATGTAGGCGTCAGACACGTTTAAAACACCTTCAATAATACTCAGTGTGGTCAATGAAATTTCACTTTTCAGTCCAAGGGGTCCCTCAAACGTTCTGAATATTCCTCTACTTGAGTCTGTTGTGTTGCTGTGTCTTAGATTTCCTTTTTCTTTGCATAATGCAAGGGCAAATTTGTGGTGAAAATTGTTAGTCTGAGCCTGGCTACCTTCCCAGGTTGTCCTTATTGTCTAGAGTTCAAAAGGTTTTCATCCAGTTCACATGGCTCAAACTCCTAAGGTGTCGATTTTAAAACTTAGGAGAATTTCAGAACACTTTAATATACTACCTTTCATTGAAGTAAATCTGCAACTTTGTTGTTGACTTTTTTCTTTCTTTTCTCTCCCTCTCTCTCCTTTCCTCCTCCTTCCCCTCCACCTTCTTCCCTTTCTCCTTCTCTCTCTCTGCATGTTAGCAACAGTTTAAAGCTACAATGGTTCTTTAAAGATCCTATTTATGAGTCTTATTTCTAGTCAAGGTTAATTTTCTATCACTGATTTTGAGAGAGAGAGAGAGAGAGAGAGTGTAGGTGAGGGGATGTATAATAGCAAATAAATATATATGGCAGCAAATAAACCCCAGTATCTCAGTGGATTAACACAATGAAAGTGTGTTTTTTGCTCATATCATACTCTAGTGAGAGATAGGTGGCTTGAATCCAAGTGGTAACTCAGATCTAGTTTCTTCCATTTCTGGTTTTCTCATTGCAGAGACCTTTGTTTCCAGCTTCCTGGGTGAAGGAGAGAGAGTGGAGGGAATTTTATAGGCAGGTCTAGGAGAGCGGGTGTGCTCAATTTGTCCACATTTCATTGTCAGAATCTAGTCATGCAGCCTCAGTTTAACTTCAAGGGAAGGTATAATCCTATATTCCCAGGAAGAGAACATTGGCTTGGTGGGCATCTGTACAATCTCTGCCAATGTACTCTGATTTATACCCTCGAGATCAAGGTTTAGCTGCTTCTTTATCCTCTTTTGGTTACTGAAGAGTCAATAATTTTTTGGAGGGAGTTTTTACTTCAAACCATTTAACCTTTTGCAAAAGCTACTGTTTGCTTCTTATTTTTTGTTCTTCTCTGCTGTGTCTATATTCCCACATTTTAATTTTTTTCACTCTAAATTAGTTTTTTTCATAATCACTTAATCTTCTTGGCCAAACCTAAGGTTGTTTTTCTTTTGTTTGTTTTTTGGGGTTTTTTTTGCTTTCTTTTTCTTTACTTTTCTTTCTTTCTTTCTTTCTTTCTGTTTTTTTTTTTCTTGTAGGAAACCTTAATCTCATTCCCTTCCACTTACTTCTGACAAGCACTTTACTTCTTGCCCCCGGTGTTTTGTCTACTCACATATGACCAGCCATCATCGAAGGGGTTGTAAATCTCATCTCACAAACTAAACTGTGAAAGAAATATACTTTTCTTTATATTTTATGACCTAACTTAATTTTTTATTCCAAATCTTGGTCCTGTTGGGCTAGTGGGAAAAACTCAACCTTAGTGTTCCCTGATTCCCCACTTTCTGGAATTAGGCCTCATACTCAGTTCCCATGTGTAGGGAGAAATTTCATGAAGAAAGATCCCAGTTATGGGTCCACAAGGAAAGGAAAAGTCAGAAAAGGTTAACCATTTTAGGCTTGAAAAAGGGAACATACAGTAACAATGGGGATTCCTAGAGGCAGGATTTGAGTTCTTATAAAACCACCCAAATGTCAAATATCATTTTTGTAAAAAGTATAACTGGGATCTGTTTTATAAAAATGAAAATGCTCTCTTTACCTGCCCTCATACCTCATTTAATCAGTTCTTCTTGATTAAATACATAGAGATAAACATATGTTTTCTATTTAATCTCATATCAACTGCTCGTTGCTCTGAACATATTTCCTAGTTGTCTCCACTTACCATCATTCTTTGTGAGCTCAAGGGAAAGCAAATTAAGTTTAATGATCCTTCTTCTTAGAAGGCCCAGGGTAGCCCCAGGCAGGAAGTAGCATTTAGAATAGAATTTAAAATCTGGAAAGGATTTGGTAGAGATTGGTGAGGAACGTATGGTAATCAGGAAGAAATTTGGTAGAGATTGGTGAGGAACGTATGGTAATCAGGAAGAAAATAATTGTGTGGCTATTCTGTTAAAGCTAGTTGATGACGAAGTGCCTTCCTGATGAATGTTTCCCTCCAGGAGTTCTGGATGACTTACTTTTTGCAAGAACTCTCTGCATGGACACAGAGTTTCACTGGGGCCTTCACTATGACGTCCACAGCTTATATGGCTACTCCATGGCACGAGCCACAGACTCGTAAGGACTTGGTTTTCCCTCTAATTCCAGATTTGGTGGGAGGCAAAGGGTTTCTTTCCTTTTCTGTAGGTAAGTTTGTTGTTCAAGTATTTTTCACAGTTATAGGGGTATAGAAACTCTAATCTTTTGAACCCTCACATGCCATCAGTTCTTGATCCATTTGATTCTACTTTTGAAACATTTTTATAACTATCTCTCCTTTTTCCCCCATTGACACCTCTTAACTTAGGTCATCCTCATTTCTCGCATAAATCATTACACTAGACCCAGGGCTCATCTCTCTGACTTTAACCTTATCTACCAATAATCTATCCTTTATCCTTCCCATGCAAGGTGTGGTTCAAGGATCAGCAACTTCAGCCTCACCAGGAAATGTATTAGACGTACAACATCTTGGGCCTTAACTGAGACCTTAGGAATTAAAATCCGCATTTGAACAAGTTCCCTGGGTATATTAAGTGTATTGAAATTTAGAAAGCACTACTCTATACTGTTGAAAAAGTGACCTTCCTAAAGCACAAATTAACTTTCCCCAGTGTAAAATTATTTGTGGCTTGCTATTTTCAGCATAATCTATAAAGTACTGCATAGTCCACCCTTTCTTACTATTTTTCTCTTATCTTTGCTACTCCTCATACTTTATGCTTTGGTAACACATAACTGCTTGTTCCCAAATACAACTACTATTCATCCTTCTTTCATGTGCTGTTAACCCTACATAAGACGGCTTTCCTTTCCCTGTCCATTTTGCAGACATGCGCTTATCAATAAAACCTCTCACCTCCGGTGTCAATTCTGGAAAACTTCCTGAAAGTGCTAGGAAAAGATTATTTACCTTTTATTGTACTACATTTGTTCATATTCCAATATGCTTAATATGCAAAAATATTGTATTGGTCTTTAGATGCTCATTTTTTTACTTGCTGACCTGTAAGTTCCTTGACGACTGATTCATATTATATCCTTAGCGTTAGGAATAGTGTATGTGTACTGAAGGCATTTTGTCAGATAAAAGCCTAGCCTGAGAATGAAAGAAAGGACAGGACCAGTACACAGGGGACCTGATAGCTCTACGAATAAGGACACATGTTTCTGATTTTGTTATCTCTTCTTTTCTGACTTTCTTTCTCATTCTACTTTTCCTGGAAAATAAACTAAATGAATAAGATTCAGTTTTCTCATCTCTGAAATGAGAGACTTGGATTGATATTTTCTTTATCTCTTTCTGTTCTATTTTGATTCTTAGCTGTTTCTATCTAAAAATGGGAAGTGGGAAGGAGAGTGAATAAATGATCAGGAAAATAAATAAAGAATAAGGAAAAGCTGGAGGAGAGAGAGTTTCAAATTGCTTTATTGTCAATGTCTCCATGTGATAAAAATACTATAAAATCATGAAAAGTTTGGTTATATATTATAATAGTGATGGTTAATAGTCAAAAAGTAATTATGACTTAGTAAGTAACAGTTGCCTTTCTAACTTCTCTGAGTCAGGCAGAATGGACTAAGTTCCCAGAGAACAGTGGAGGCAAGTGAAACTTGGTTTTTGAGCACAAGGCAGAGTTGAGTCAAAAACCAGATAATTGTCATTCAATGAACATCAGGAGAGTTGAAATCATAGGTCTGATGAGTATTTGGCTCAGTCTTAACTGGGAGGATAATTTGAGGACAGTGGTTACTGGACTAATTAGAAATAAAATTCACCTCTCTTTAGGATGAAACCAGATCAGATTTTGTCAGATATCACAAACTGGTCATAAATTGGTCAGACCTGCGAAATGGAAAAGAAAAACATAAGAGTCTCTGAAGAGGACCTTTAGAAAAAAAACTGGATAAAACCTGACAGTTATCTATCTAGTCTGTTTTAGCAGTATTGTTTCTAAATAAAGTATGACTGCAAATATCCTCACCCTTGTTTCAGTTTCATGCTATGTAAACTGAATTTGTTTCTTTCATGTTTGATGTTTACAGAGTGCAATAAACCTCCAGCCAGTGGTAACAAAAGCAAAGTGTCTGCCAACTTATATCAAAGGAGAAGTGAGGATAGGAGTTGGAGAGTGAGTCCTTTCCTCCAACCTACCCTCATTATTTTGGTCAATAAATTCTTGGATTAAAGCAATTCTCTGTCTTAAACCAATCTTCAGTTTCAGAATTTTTTCCCTTTTGCCATTATGAGCCAGTCTGCATTTGTATACTCCTCATAATCTCCCTAGGAGTATGACGTGAGGAGGCCATGGTGGCTGTTATAGTGTCTTGAAGAATTGCCTGTGCCTAGTGATAAAGATTTGTAGAGAGAAGTTTTAGGTTGAGTATGCATTATCAGGAAAGAAAGAACTTGCCTGCAAAGAGTGGGCAGCAACTGTGACTCAGGTGTAACCATTCTGTAGTTCTGTTATTGTTCAATTTTAAAACTTTAACAGAAGGTGAGGACTGTTCAGCATAGAAAGAAAAGAGGGAGAGGCATTTCAGTCAAGTATCTGGACAAATGAATGTTCAAAATAAAAGCTTGGAGAATAGCCTACATTCCAACCATAAGTCATCCTACCTTATGTCCCTTCCCTGTCCATTTTGAATTTTGTGTTTTTAATTTATTTGCTTTCACTTCTGTATAGTTTTACTTGATTTGTAATATTTTATATGTATTACAATGAAAATAACTTTCTATTTTAGTTGTTTTTGACTTTACAAAAATTATCATACACCATCTTCTGAGACTTATTCATTTCAATTACTATTGTTTTGCATAGACCAAATTTTGTTAACATTGAGAATTGTTAAAAAATAAGACTGAGGCTTCCGAGGAACCCAGGAAGACGTTCTGGAGTTTCAGAGGTGTATAAGCTGGTACATAAACTCTCCTCTTAGTTAAGCAGAGGATGCAGCATTCTAACCTGAGCTGGTGTAGTGCCAAACAGAAGTGTGCATAGCAGAAAGGCATGGAACCAAGGGACAGAAAATAAATTGTCTAGAGAGAGAAGTTGGAGCTAAGAACCCAACTTCTAAGCTAAGAACCCAACCCATATATTGTCAACCAAAACGACCAGACCTTAGCCAGATCAAGCCAGGTGGAGAAAACATAATCAAGAAGGTAGGATCCTAGAGACATTTCCATGGGGGCTAGAATGTAAAGGTCTGTGCTGTCTTATGTGGAATCTGAAATCTTACCCAGAAGTGGGAAAGAAGCTCTTAAAAGGGCTAAACTCATTTACACATCTGGTTTATGATACTCTGATGTCTTTCCTCAGTTTGGTTGAAAACGACATTGCTGCTCTTGGGATGAGGTGAGTCCTACATGTTCATAGCTCGCTTCACATTCAACTGGCTGTTTTCATTTTCAGGGCCCTGAAGACTGTCTTCAGCAATAATAGAAGCTTCATCTTATCCCGTTCTACTTTTGCTGGATCTGGCAAATTTGCTGCTCATTGGTTGGGGGATAATGCGGCCACATGGGATGATCTCCAATGGTCCATCCCCAGCATCCTTGAGTTCAACCTATTTGGCATCCCCATGGTGAGCCTCATTTCCAACCAAGGAACTTTAACCCCTTTGTCCTTTGGCATTCTTTCTATCACCAGTCTTGGAAGGCATTTGTTCTTCTCTGATATGCTTTAGAAGAATAAATTTCAATGTGTGGTATGAGCTGCCTTCTAAAGATAGAATGGTAGTACTCTATCACTGGTTGTCATACTTGCAATCTCTGGAGAGAAGGAGATACCAGGAGTAAAATGCATTTTTATCAGGGGAAAATTCCATCAGAAGAACATCAATGAATAGGAAAATATGAAATGGGGAACTGAATATTGAGGAAGAGCCCTCGATACAAGGACTACTGTCTACACTGCCAATAAGTGTCCCTCCTCAGTCTGTCCTGTGATGTGGACCACCTTGTTTTTCACATTTGGCTGGTGGTATGTCCTGAGACTCTGGGATCTCCCTTAGCATGCAATCATCTGAATAAGAAGTTCTGCTTTCCCTTATTATCTAAGTACATAGTACATGCTTTCACCTCTCGCATTGACCACTGTGCTTGTGTGTGCTAATTCTCCAGGTAGGTGCCAACATCTGTGGTTATAACCAAAATGTGACAGAGGAGCTCTGCAGAAGGTGGATGCAGCTTGGAGCATTTTATCCATTATCCAGGAACCATAATGGCCCTGGGTTCAGGGTAAGGTCCCCAAAAGAAGTAATAGCAACTTTTGGAACTATCTGATCTACTTGTTCTTATAGAGAGACTGAGAGAAATTCTACATGTTAGCCCTAACTGCAGAAGAAAGATAAGTACATCTTGGGTGATAATCTTAAAAAGCAGGATATCAACGTGAGGGTGTGCAGGAAGGGGTATGAATTCAAGCCTTCAAATTGTTTTATCGCTGGGCTTTTCTAGCTACTTGTGATCTAGAGAGAGATTCACTATTTCTGATCTAGAGAGAGATTCACTATATGCAGATGATTGGGAGCAGGCAGGGCAGATGCTCTTACCTAGGCAGCTAGGTTAAAGTGCTTCTTTTCTTTTCTCTAAACTAGCTCTATTCAATACAATTATAATGGGAGCCATGTATGTCAGTTTGCATTTGAATTTAAAAAGTAAAAAGGAAAGGGGACATAATCTTAAACATATTTTATATATCTATAATATTACCATTTCAACCTGTGTTTAACACAAAATATTATTAATGAGCTATTTTGTATCCTTTTCCTTCCACCAAGGCTTCAAAATTTGGTGTGCATTTTATGCTTATAGCACATCCCAAATTGTATGCTAAATCTTCAGCAGTTAAAGTAAAATGTAATACTACCAAGACAATAAAATTGTTTTTAATGGAAAAAAAATACTTTACATTGATTCAGTGTTAAGATTTATATTTAAATGAACTGCAATCAGATAAAATAAAAAGTTCACTTCCTCAATCCTACTAAACATATTTCAAGTGTTTAATAGCTCCTTGTAGTTTGTGGCCACCATAGTGGACAACACAGCTCTAGACCTTCTCAACTGATGACCAGGGTTGTGAAGGCTGTGGGATATTATTTTCTATGGTGTTTGGCCTTAAGGATTTAATGTGCCCTGCATTGGAATCATAGTGTGGTCTTGCATTTAGATTATAGAGTGATCTCACAGAATAGTTTTCTTAAGGGAGGGAGAAATGAGCCTCTTTGGAAGTAAAATAAATAAATAAATTTAGATAATGTTATTCAAAATTCTATTCCAGTAACACAGTACAGGATGACAGCTATAAATATTACATGTGTGTCTTTCTCATCCTCGAAATTACATAGAAAATGAACAAAATGAATGTAGGCCATTGATGGAAAATTTCCATCTCTGGGTCCTAGGAAAATTATATTTTCTTTTTAAAGAGTTCTTTCTTTGCTCTTGAATAAAGCCTGCTAAAAAAAACTTTATAATTTATGTGCGTATTTTATATCAATGAATAAATATAGGTCACTATCTTTGGGATAAAGAAAAAAAAAACAAACATGGAAATGTTACAGATAAAACTGGACATAAAATTTTAAAATCGCATTTTTATACAGGTACATGAAAAGCAAAAGATGAATTATAGATCATGGTGGTAGGTAATGTGGCTTACAAGGCACATTTTTTAGTAGTACTACACATTATTATGATTATTTTCCAAAAAATATAATAAGAAACCTCAATATATAAAATAAATTAGAGCATCTCTGGAGGGAGCAAGGCCCACATCATCTCCATGGCCACCCCAATGGGGCTTCATTATTACCCTGGGCTGCCATAGACTCCCCTCAGAAAACAAGTGCAGAATATAATTTCTGCCACTTGTTTGCAAGTCTACACTAGGAAAGTCATGTGATCTTTAATTTTTATTGTCATTTATAAAATGAAGGAGTAGGACCAAGATTCTTTTATTTCTGGAAATGTTTTGATGGAAACTGTGGCTACTTTTATCTGGGAAAACTTCTTATCATAAGGGAACTTTTAAACTATCATGGAAAGAAATATTCAGCAATTGCTTCTGTTTCCTCCTAGGACCAGGATCCTGCTGCTTTTGGCGCTGACTCTCCACTGTTGAATTCCTCCAGACATTATCTGAACATCCGCTACACCTTGCTGCCCTATCTATATACCCTTTTCTACCGCGCTCACACCCGCGGCGAGACGGTAGCAAGGCCCCTCGTACATGAGTGAGTTTCCTGATCCTCAAAAACTCCCTTTCAGATCATAGCTTCACTTTAACTTGTTTGTGATAGCAAGGTTAGTCAGGATCTTTTTGCTATAGCATGTGCTGTTTTCCTGTATTTCATACTTCCCTTGCCTCACTGTGCTCTGTTTTCTAGGTTCTACCAGGACTCAGCCACATGGGCACTGCACGAGCAGTTCTTGTGGGGACCTGGACTCCTTATCACCCCTGTCTTACGTGAAGTATGTTTATAATTTAAGCAGTGAGACAGGGCATTGCACTTGTCCTCATGGTTCAAAAGCTGAATAGACTGAAGCTTAAGTGTCTATGATTGCATTTAAATCTAAATATGAATATAAATATGAAATTAAAAGCATAGTCATTCTTGATCCTGCTGCACCACCAAGCAAAACAATTTCCACATTGCAAAACTACTTTAAAATTAAAGCCTGTGTCCTTAAGCATATGTTCGTGACATTGATACGGGCTTTAAATGCTTCGGTGTGTATGTGTCATCCATCTGTGTATGCTTCTCGATGTCCAGAGGAGATATGCTCTTCGGTTGGGCTGGGATGAGAGAATACCTGTGAAAAAGAGAAAAGAGAGATGGAGTGCTGGGCAGGGGGAGGGTGTAGCTCTGAAATCCATGTATGAAGGACCATGTGTATCCTACCTAAGTATGACTTGAGGCAGGGAGGAGTAGGGAAGTGTGGGGGAAGGGTCAGGATCATGCTGATCTGCTTGTAAACATGAAATATTGCCAATGTACTCATGTCAAAGGCCCTCTGAGCTGATGTTTTAGCCATACCATCTGATGACACCTCCTACTAAACAACAAGTGCCCCTGCTCAGAGGTTCTCCTGGGATTCTGGCTGGCTCATTCTCCTCCCAGCTGTCGGATTACATGACTGTCTGAGTGAATAACTTTTCTCTGCTTCTCTTGGCAAGTGTGGCAGTGTCGAAGCAAAACAAACTTCAGTTTTAGCTACCTCTGCTTTGGGTAAACTTTAACCATTGAGTGCCCATGTTTTTATTGGTAGAGTGGGATGATCCCAGCTTTTTCTCAGAATTGTTCAGATAAGCATACACAATGACATAACTGGAGGAGTTTTACAAATTGTAAAGGGATATGCTAATGTTACTCATTGTTGTTTTCCCAGGGTGCAGACCAAGTGAAAGCATACATACCGGATGCCATCTGGTATGATTATGAGACAGTAAGTAAAGTAGCTTCAGTTGGCTCTAAGACCTGCCCCTGGCAGAAGGCCCCTCTAAGGCAGCAGTCTTGGGAACTTGGGGAAGGATAATAGTACAAGGCTTATATTCAGTTGATTGTGAGTTCTTTTCTGTGAGAAATGTGTCTTAGTCCATTTGGGATGGTACAACACCATGCAATGTCTAAACAACAGAAATTTATTGCTTACAGATTTGGAGACTGGAAACTTCAAGATCAAGGTGCCAGCAAATTCACTGTCTCATGAAGGCTCACTCTGCTTCATTGATTGCACCTTCTTGCTCCTCCTCACTGCTTAATCACTTCTCCAAAGGCCCCACCTCTTAATGCTATTACATTGGATATTAGGGTTCAATCTATAAATTTGAGGGGTACACAAGCATTCAGATCATAGCAAAAGGACTTGTCAAATGTACAGTGAAATAATTTGAATAACTGTTTTTTTTTTAATGGAAATTCATTATATCAACCTGGCTACTTGTAGCTGTAAGGACTAATCTTTGCCATTTGGCTGTGATAACCTAGAGAATTAAAGCCCAACTGTAGAATCACAGCATAACGTAATGTAAAGAATTTGGGAGAGTTGGAATATCAACTTTGCTCTCTACTACCATATGATTTGGACAAGGCACTTCACTTTGGGGGGGAGGAGTCTCAGTTTTTTTCTTCTTTAAAATGAGGCACTGAACTAGATGATATCTAAGAACCCTCCTAATCCAAATGTTACCTGATCTATTTTCCTTTTGCTGATTAGGGAGAGGCCATCTCAAGAAGGAAACAATTCATGAATATGGAACTTCCAGGTGATAAGATAGGACTTCACCTTCGAGGGGGCTACATATTTCCCACCCAGCAGCCAAACACAACCACAGAGGCCAGGTAATCTTCTCACTGTTCTAAGAGTGGATTAGCTAAGGGGAAAGTCAACCATCAGTAAGCTTCCTTCCTTCCCTTTTTTTTTTGAGTTGGAATCTCACTCGGTCACCCAGGTTGGAGTGCAGTGGCATGCTCACGGCCACTCCCAGCGTCGACCTGCTGGACTCCAGTGATCCTTCCACCTCAGTCTTCTAAGTAGCTAGAACTATAGGCGTGCTACCACATCCAGCTAATTTTTTTTTTATTTATTGCAGAGACGAGGTCTCATCATGTTGCCCAGGCTGGTCTTGAACCTGTGGGCTTAGGCAGTTCTCTAGCTTCAGCCTCCCAAAGTGCTGGGATTACAGGCTTGAGCCACTGCACCTGTCTCCTTCCTTCCTTTCAAAGTCAGTCAAAAATTTATTCACTTAGTGAAAGGTAAATGTCTCTTTACATACTCATAGTCCTTCACTTTTGGACTGAAGCAGATTGTGGGAATAGTCCAAATAATCACTGATGAGACTTCTCTATGACTAAAAATTGTTCTCAGGTAGATTACCTAATGTGTGGGAGAAGGCATATTAAATAAGAGATAAAGGTTATCATGTGAAAGTCAACCCAGCTTGGAGGTCCAGAGCTCAGACTCTGAAGACAGATGGTTTAGGTTCAAACCTTGGATCTACTGCATACTAAATGTGTTTACTGTGGGCACTTTGCTTTTCTGTGCTTCTGCTTAATATTGGTAAACTAGGGCTGATGATAGTTCAACTTTTTAGAGTTAACTATCATTAGGGCTAAATTAATTAATATAAATTATAATGTATGCAAGACACTTTATGCCTGGTACATGGTAGGCACCTAACAAGTGTCAATTGTCAGTGTCTCAACCTTAATAGTTTTCAGTGGGAAATGCCTCCTTCTACCCTTATGCCATGCACTACTAACCTGTATTGCCTACCCTCCCTCAACATGTTTCCACAATGTCAATATTTACTCAGCTTCTGGGGACAGAGTCTGGGGCTATCTGTCCTTGGAAACATAAAGGGGGCTGGCTTCACATATTTCTACCCCTTCTTTGTTCTCTGAAACCAAGAATTGCACTTTTACAGCCGTAAAAATTCCCTGGGACTCATCATCGCCTTGGACTATAAGAGAGAAGCAAGGGGGGAACTGTACTGGGATAATGGTGTGTCTAAAGGTAGGCATTCTTAGGGTGCCATTACTGTGGTTATGTCTAAAAATTAGTCAGTGCAGGCTTCCCAATATGGCACTAATTTTATTATCATTGTCATTTATTTCTGTAGCTTCAACTTAGTGGGCTAAAATTCATTCTGAAAGTCCTGTTAGTCAATCACAATGCATTAACATAGACTTCAAATGTGTAACTTGTGTGTTATTGACTCTACCAAAGCAACATAAATTGGTGCATCTACTTAATTATCTTCTCTGGGTATCATTATTAAGAACAAATAATACATTTTGTTAATAGTTTTGCAAAATACTGCCTTGTTTACTATTGAGGGAGAAATGTCTAATCCGTGTAGTGTGTTTTTCTACTGTAAGATTTCCAGGTAAATACTTCACATAACCTTATAATCTGTGATTATATAAAAATCTTACCTGCATGAAATTTGTATATATTTATTAATATGTAATTGCTATTTTTATTACAAATAATGTAATATATTACACAATATATTGTCCTTATACGCAAGGGATATAAAGATGAATAAGACATAAGTTTTGCTTTCGAGGAATTCATGGTCCAGCAGGATAGATAGAATACATGTGTGGATAACTATGATGCAAATTTAAATGCTTTAAATGCCAACAAAATTGTACCCCAGAGTGCCATAGTACAGGAGACCTCTGCAGAGGATTAACAAATATGAATAGAGCTCAGATGAGCAGAACTAGATAGTAAGGTATTCCATATGAAGAGAAGGACAGGCCTCCACACCTCCTTTGCATTCCATAGTAATGGGCACTCCCCTGTCATTCTCTTTCAGATGCTATCACTGAAAAGAACTATATTCTGTATGATTTCTCTGTTGCCTCTGTAAGTACTGTGTTTGAGGAATACAGTGTATATTCCTTGCTATGGTGGCTGTTTAGGTTTTTTATTTACTATAGATGTGTGGTTATGTGCAATAGGAACAGTGTTTGACTGTCCAAGAGAGAATTGAAGTTGGCATGAAAGTATTTAATGTATGTCAGATTTATAAGCCTATAAAAAACAGTATGAGTTCTGTGTAGAACTTTTCTTTTTTTTGGAAAAGAATCATTGCCATTTAGTTTTACATGATGGGTTCTGGCTTCTGAGATGTGCCCTTTTATGAAGGGGTGCAAGTGTGTATGAGGTGTGAATGCATTGAGGAGTGATAAAGCGCCTTTTTGAGGTTCTTCTGTAATAGCTTTCCTTTCTAGCCCCTAAACTTTTTAACCCTAAAACCTGGCCTTGCGCTCAGGTATAAAGTAGGGGCTTTTAAAGTTAGTAAGATACAGAACTTCGCCTCCCTCATCTCTGTTTCCTAAGGGGACTGGGAGGAGGAAAAGCAGCAAGGTTAGCAGAGAATGGGAGAATTCTAACTTGGTTTTCTTAGAAGTCTGATCGTCTATGGGCAGAGCTTTCTTTTATTGGGATATCTCTCCTTTATTTTTCCTTTCTTTTAAATTCATGTTGTTCTTAAAAATGAACTTCGGCCGAGCTCGGTGGCTCAGCCTATAATCCCAGTACTTTGGGAGGCCAAGGTGAGTGAATTGCCTGAGCCCGTGGTTCGAGTCCAACTTGGCGAGACCTTGTCTCTATGATAAATCAAAAATTAACCAGGCAAGGTAGCACGTGCCTGTAGCTCCAGCTACTTGGAAGCCTGAGGTGGAAGGATCGCCAGCGCCCAGCAGGTTGACACTGGGGTGGCTGTGAGTGTGTCACTGCACTCCAGCCTCGGCAACAGGGTGAGACTCTAACTCAAAAAAAAAAAAAAAATGAACTTTTTTATTTTGAGGTAATTAAAAATCTCCATGCAGTTCTAAGAAATAATGTAGAGTTCCCACATACCCTTTAACCCAGTTAAATATCACAGCAAGGATATTGGCATTGATACTATCAAGATGTAGAATATTTCTATTAACACAAAGATCTCTACTGTTGACCTTTTATAGCATTCCCACTTGCGTCTTGGCTCCTGTTCCTTTTCCCTGGCAACCAGTAGTCTGTTCTCCATTTCTATAATTGTGCAAGAATGTTATGTAAATGGAATTAGATAGCATACACCTTTAAGACTGGCATTTTCATTCATATAATTCCTTCACAATTCATCTACATTATGCCTAACAATAATTTGCTCCTTTTTATTGCTGACAAGACAGTCTGATCCCATTTGTGGGATAGTGAAAATATTGTGTGATACATTGGCCTAGTTCCAAGGTATGGATGCACCAACTTTTTAAAAATCATTCACTTGATAAACAGCATCTGGGCTGGTTCCAGTCACAGGCTATTACAAATAAACTGAAACTTCTACAGACACTCATGCTCAGGTTTTGGTGTGACGATTTTGTTTCTCCATGGTAATTGCCTTTGAGAGCAGTTGCTAGGTCTTAGGGAGGTGCACATTTAGTTTTATAAGAAACTTCCAAACTTTTTTCTGGAGTGGCTGTACCATTTTGCATTTCCACCAGCAACATAAGAGCCATCTACTTTCTCTGCATCATGGCAAGTATTTGATGTTTTCCTTTTTTTTTTTTTTAAAGCTATTCTGATTGGTGTGTAATTATATCTCACTGTGGTTTTAATTTGTATCTCTCTGGTGACTAATGATGATGAACATCTTTTCATGTGCCTCATATGCCTACTTATTATCTGTATATTTACCATCTGTAAAAGTTTCTAATTTTGATGGGTCTAAGTTATCATTATTTTCTTTTTGGTGTCAAGTTTAAGACCTTTTGCCTAGCCCTACATTCTGAATATTTTATCTCATTTTTTCCCCTAAAAATTTGTAATTATGTGTTTTGCATTTAAGTCTGTGATCTAGTTTGAGTTAACTTTTATATAAGATGCAAGAGTTTGGTAGAGTTTCAACTTTTTGCGTGTATATCCAGTTGTCCCAGCACCATTTGTTGAAAAGTATATCCTTTCTCCATTATAACACTTTTGCATCTTTGTCAAAACTCAGTTGTGCATATTAGTATGGGATTCCTAATTTTTTTTTTTTATCATCAAACTGTCTCATTTTTCTTCAGTCTTCATTTCCACATTCTTCTTTGTCTTAGGTCAACTTTGTCACTTTTGAGACTCATTTAATTTTCTGTGCTTCAGTTTTCTCATCTGAAAAATGGGTTACTTATATCTTCAACCTCATAGTCTGCTGTGATAATTGAATGAGGCAATATATGCAAATGCTTAGCATAGAACCTGGTACACAATAAGCATTCAAACATTCTTAGCTCTTATCATCACTATTATTAAAATGAGAAGAAACATTACTCGGGAACTTTGTGTGTGTGTATGTCTTTATCTTAGCATGTTAAAGCGTCTCTTAATCTTTCTATTCACTTATCGGGTTGAATGAATTTCACAGCAACCTGGATGGAATTAGAGTTTATAATACTGAGTGATCTCTCACAGAAACAAAGATCTGAGTATTACAAGTTCTCACTCATAAGTGGACCTTGAACAACTACCGTAATACTATAAGAAAAGGATTGACAGTGATAGAAAACTATAGGGGGGGACAGGGAGGGGAAGGATTAACAGTAGTCAATATCTGTCTGAGGAAAGGGGGGCACACCTCATCAACAAGGGTACCTGCACAATGAATATTTGTATACCTAACCCTTAACTGTACCCCACAACTTCAAAATAAAAATATATATTTTTAAAAATTAAATAATAATAAATAAATAAATAAATAAAAATTCCACTGTGTCAGGAACATATTTTTCAAGTAATAGAATCAGTAAAGAACCAGTGAACCAAAGCAAATACAAAGTATTACTAAAAGATTTAGGATTGTTAAGAGATGACTGAGTTCATAAATTCTCTGGAGATGATCACCTGGCAATATTTGAAGTTGCAGAGAAAAAGCAAACACTTTGAATCCCAGAAAATAAGCTGTTGAGTGGTATTTGGAGACAACAGAGTATGAAGTATGTGGTCTTTAATCTGACTTTGTTTTTAATGCTTTTTTTTGTTTGTTTGTTTTGTTTGTTATTTTCCCCCAGAACCGTCTACAGGCAAACATTAAAAATAATAATTATATGGGCCCTAACCTCACGTTTGCTGATATCAGAATCTTGGGAATGGACAAGCAACCAACTAATCTTACTGTTATTGTCCTATTGAATAATTCTTCCACCTTCAGTCCAAATCTTGACTACAATTCTTCCACAAAGGTGAGACATGGTTCCATCCTGCAGGGCCCTTGCCAGAGGCCCTGGTCTGAGATTCTGACAGCTGGGCCTCCCTTGTACTTTTTACTTTGGGTAATCACAGAGTCAACTGGCTTGCTGGGAGATCCACTACACCACAGAGAGGAAACAAGAGAAACATGTACACAGTAAATACAGACTCCTCTGCTTTGTTTGCATTAGGGCTCTGAAGAAAATAGCAGGAGTTGGAGCCTTGAGAGAAGGCAGTTCTTCTCTCGGCAAATTTAAAACAAGAAAATTTGATCCCAGATGTGATAAAGTAAAAATATTGTGTGATACCTTTGCCTAGTCATGAAGACTATTTATACTTTTGTCATCTTGTTGAAGTTAGACTCTCTTTGAGATACAGTTGACATTTTTCTTTGGTGTATTAAGCTATTTCATAGCATTGCAGAAAATGAGAATGGAATAAAACAGAAGGGATAATATGGCTTTTCTCTTATTGAATGACTCCCTCACTTTGTTAATTGAATATTTCAAGTGCTGGGAAATTCATGATTTTTGAAGTCAGCCTCCTTCCGTTTTGACAATCCATATAGCATAGGGTAAGAGTCTGGTTTCTAGAGTTAGGCAGAATGGGGTGCCAATACTAGTTCCAAGGTATTAAACATCTCTGTGCCCCAGTTTTCTATTTTGTAAACTGGAGATAGCTATAGTAGTCCACAGCATAGGACTGATTAATAGGATTAATGGAGGTCATGCTTATAAAGTGGTTATCACAGTGCCAGTATGAATACTTCAGCAAGTTTAGCTACTGTTACTGTTACTATCATTATTAAGTTGAAAAGGCATCACATCCAATGAGCTTAACAGTGACAGACCTGACTGTGATCTCCACCCCTTGGCATGATCAAAGCTCTTCCTAGTCGATACTTCCACCATGACTCCATGAAATGAGAAAAGTCAAGAACAATCCAAGTTGGTATTGAAAAAAGGAGTAGGTTCCTTGGTCCTAACTTCTAGCCACTAGCCAGGACTTTATCCAGGTGGCTCTACCTCACCTTCTCTGTCACTGTGGGCTTCTTTCTCTTTACTCAGGTGGTGACCATCACTGGTCTCCAGAAACTGATACTGGGACAAGAATTCTCTATTGAGTGGAATCTTCCAGTCAATGACCTGGAGAAGTTCAACTGCTACCCTGAGGATCCCACTGTCTCTGAGGACAGTTGCAGGAAGCGGGGGTGCCTTTGGGAGGTAATAATCAGGCATAGGTTACCTTATTGATCAGAAAGCTGTAAAAAACTGTCCCACAAGTAATTAGGCATCTAGAAAACACTTTTTAATATTGACGGCTTGAATGGTAATCATGACACTGTGTAACATGTATTTTGTCAACTCTCTGTGACAAAATACAGAAGAAATGTATGCCACTCCAGTCACATGAATTAATACCTCATTTTAAACATGATAATAGACATTGGGTATAGGTTGTGCATTGAGTATTTTAAGTGATTTATTTCATCTATTATAGAGTCCAAACAGGAAGGGTAATGTAAGGCTGTTATTCCTCTATGTTTGAACAATAAAGACAATGAAAACTAGAAGAAATATGTCATTTCCTCTACACTACACTGAAGGCAATAAGACACCGGGATTAGAACCCTGCCTGAGGGGTCCAGTCTCCAGATCAGACTTCCTGCTGCTCTGTCACTGTTTACTCATCACAGAAGGCCAGTGTGTGTATTTAGATGACCATATTTGTTTACCAGGGCTGCCACAACAGAGTGCCACAGAGTGACTTGCAACAACAGAAATTTATTCCTTCACAGTTCTAGAGTCTAGAAATCTGAAATCATGATGTCAGCAGGGTTGGTTCTTCCTGAGGATTTCAAGGGTGAATCTGTTCCATGATCCTACCTTAACTTCTGGTGGTTTGCTGGCAATCTTTGGAATTTCTTAACTTGTAAAATGCACCACCCTGATTTCTGGCTCCATGTTTACATGGCATTTTCCCTGTGTGCATGTCTATCTCCATCAAATTTCCCCTCTAAATAAGGATATCATTCATATTGGATTAAGGCTCACACTAATGATCTCATTTTAACTTGATCATCTGCAAGGACCCTATTTCCAAATAGACACATTTACAGGTATCAGGGATTAGGACTTAATGTCTTTTGGGGGTAAATAGTTCAACTCACAGCAATGGACATGCTGTCACAGGCTCAGTCTGTGTTAACTGTATTTTCAGTAGTGAGAACCTCAAGTTGTTGTTGTTCTAAAGCTAATCAAGAATTCCTCCTGTTGTTCCAGTACACAACTACTCCTGGTGTGCCTACCTGTTACCATGACACTATCCCTTATTATGCTGCCAGTAACATTCAATACCTGAGCAGTGGCATCACCACAGACCTCACTCTCCTGGCGGCCCCTGAGTCAGCACAAACAGAGAACTCAGCACGGGCAGCAGCAGCACTGCCACCACCATTTTCACCAAGGAGTGTGCCACCCCCAACTGCAACTGCTGCCTCTGATTCCCTATCCGCCAAGATCAGCTCCCTCCGCCTGAGTGTGATCTACCACACAGCAAACATGCTGCAGATCAAGGTAAGGTCCATGTTGCAGATTCTGATTCTCAACATGGACTTTTTAACTTACAGCTCTGTATGGATGGAAGTCATTAAAACAGCTTTAGTCCAAATTCCTCATTTTGCCACAAGAAAGCTAAGACCTTTAGAGAGGTAAAGGTCAGAAAGTAGGCAGCAGAGCCAAGATATGACCTTAGATCCACAAAGGTGGTGAATTACCTATAATGAGAAGTACTGCAGGTCATAAACAACCTCAAAGATTCATCCTTTATTCCTGAGAAAAACGCATCTGCTTTGTGGTAAACTCATATGAGAGACATTAGCTTACTTTCAATATTAGAATTATCTCTAGTAGTGATTCTCAAACTTTAGCATGCTTCACAACTTTGTTAAAACCCAGATTTCTGGACCTTACCCCCAGAGTTTCAAAGTCAGTAGGTCTGGGCTGAGGTCTAGCTTGAGAGTTTGCATTTCAAGCAAGTTCCCTGGTGGTGCTGATGCTTCAGGTGGAGACCATACTTTGAGATCTAATGTCTGTCCCACCTACTAAAAACACAACATAAGCCATATATGTTTTCCAATGTGTGTATTTTTTAAAATGTATTTTAAAGAAACAAGTGAAATTCATTTTAGTGACATTTTATTTAACCATGTGCTAAAATATTATCATTTCACCTTGAAATAAAAATTTAATGGAGATATTTTGCAGTCTTTTAATCATACTAAGTCTTCAAAATCTGTTTCAGATTTTACACTTACAGTGAATTTCAACTCAGACTAGCACATCTCAGGCACTCAATGGCTACATGTGGCTTTTGGACACCACTTTGGACACCACAGCTCCAGATATTACATTTCATGCTTTGATGTATCATGAATCACTCAGGGCTCTTGTGAAAATAAAAATTCTGCTGGGTGCGGTGGCTCACATCTATAATCCCAGCACTTTGGGAGACTGACGTGAGAGGATTGCCTGAGCCCATGGGTTCAAGACCAGCCTGGGCAACTTGGTGAGACCCCATGTCTAAAATAAATAAAAAAATTAACCAGGCATGGTGGTGCATGCCTGTTGTTCCAGTTACTTGGAAGGCTGAGGTAGAAGGATCACCTGAACCCAGCAGGTCAAGGATACAGAGGCCATGAGTGTGCCACTGCACTCCATTCTGAGTGAGACTCCAACTCAAAAAACAAAAAAAACTTCTGTCTGGGGAGGAGCCCAAGATTCTGCATTCATAACAAGCTCCCAGTAATGCTGCAGCATTGAGTCTGTGTTAGGTCAGACCTGATGGGAGGCATCTGGTTTAAGATCCAGTGCCACACATAAGATGCAAAGAATTGTACAGACGTTAGACTGGAAAATATAGTTTATGTATAAAGTAAGTTAGAGAAAGAGAAGACAGAGAAGATTCACCTCTCCAAGGTAGGGGAGGTGACCAAAGCTTAAGAAAACATGGCCTGGCCATAGCTCAATGAACACATAACCTGGCCAGTGCTCTAAGAGCCATGTGGCCACACCAAAGTTTAGCATAGCAATGGCCAGTGGCTGCTTGAAGTTGAATGTGTTTTAACCTTCCCTTTGATGGGAGGGCAAGTCATTAAGGTGATTGGATGGTGGTATGTTGCACGTCCTCATGAAAGCGGACAGGTAAGCACAGGTACTGACGTCATGATGATGGACAGCAGGCAGATGGGTGGGTTAGTCATATGATTGCTGCCATGTTGATGGGGTCTGTGTCAAGAAGGTCATGAAGGGCTGATTAGGCTAACTTGTTTATCAATAGGTACCTCTGAGAAACTGGTTCTGTCCTTGTTTAGAGGTCAAATTAAAGTGAACTGCTAGAAAAACATGACAAAGCTAAGCAATGTTAAAATGGCTGCTCTTTGGCTATATGATTCCATCTTATGTCCTTTCAGTCTAAGAAACAGCAGGGCTTTAGAAAGCCCACACCTAAGCACTACCTTTGGGCTAATAATCTGAGGATGAGGGTGGTTGCTCAGAATGGTGATACTCCCTGTTGTGGCACAACACTTTTCACTCCTTTTATTTTCCCCACACATAAATCCTGTTAGGTCAGTAGGATAAAAGAGTGGGAACAAAAGAGAAACCTTAGGAATGGAAAACCCATGCAATCTGGAAGCTCAAACAGTAAGGAGAGCTTAGAGTTTATGTGAAAACTCAATTCTTAAATTCCTAACATAGACTCACACACAATCTTACACAACTCCATGCATGTACATGTTCACATGCCACACAGCTGTAAACACATACACATACTCTCTCCATGAGATCCTGTACACTTCTATCACAAGTTCTTTGGAGGAAGGACCCTAACTGGCTTTGAATCAGTTTTACCAAGACATTTTTGAAGTCCAGGATTCATATCGGGACACAGTGGGTAGACAGGCCTCACATCTATTTGCCTGGGGACATCGATACCTTCTGATGTGGTAAAAACTGGCCAAAAAACTTGGAACTGAATTATATGGACGGGCATGAGGGATTTTAGGTCTAAGACCTCATCAGAAAGATTTCTTCTCTCTCCTTGACAGATCTATGATCCCACTAATAAAAGGTATGAGGTCCCAGTACCTTTGAACACCCCTCCCTCGCCAGTTAGCAACACTGAAAACTGCCTATATGATGTTGAGATTCTGAACAATCCTTTTGGAATCCAGATTCATCGCAGAAAGTCCAAGACTTTAATGTAAGCATTATTTATTTGATTCAACTTAGAGTGGCTCTAGATCTAATTATAGTGATTCTAATTAATGCAAATAAAACATTAATATTAAAGACTCTATGTAAATATATGTGTGCTTGTTAAAGAGTATATCTATTTCCCCCTCTTCAATGGAAAATTTGTTTTCTATTAGTCATTCACAAAACAAGAAAAACCAATCAAGATTTAAAAAACTAATTAAGCCGGGCTCGGTGGCTCAGCCTGTAATCCCGCGCCTTTGGGAGGCTGAGGTGAGTGGATTATGTGAACTTGCGGGTTCAAGACCCACCTGGGCAGCGAGACCTCATCTCTACAATAAATAAAAAAATCAGCCGGGCGTGGTAGCGCCCGCCTGTAGTTCCAGCTTCTTGGAAGGCTGAGGCGGAAGGATCGCTGGAGCCCAGTAGATCGAGGCTGCGGTGGCCGGGAGGGGCCACTGCACTCCAGTCTGGGTGACAGAGTGAGACTCCAACTCAAAAAAAAAAAAAAGAAAGAAACTAATTAACTGTTATCTGATGTCAGATAAAGAACAATACATGTTCTACTCATTCTTGTTAGGTGGAACAGAAAACGCTGCTTAGTAATACAACAGATAAGCTAATATAGAAATCAGTTTCATATTATGGCTCATTAAGAAATAATAACTAAAGTGGCAGGAAAGAGGGTCAAAGGGTTTCGTGCAATATTTGCTTCTATGGACACTATAGACTCAAAACCTTTTTTGAACGTTAAGTATCAAAGAAATTGCCATCTCTCATCTCTTGTCCTGCTGCTGAATGGAATTAAGTGAAGATTTGGATTTTGCCTGGGGTGAGGTTTCTCATCCCAGAAGGAGCTGTCACATGTGGGTACATGTATGTCTTCTTCTCTTCTCTCTGCTGTTCCCCCAGTATCTTTGGCCAATCCAAAGAAACTATTCTAAGAGTTTTGCACTTTTCTATTGGAAAGTTTGCTTAGACCCCATCACTTATTCATGCATTTATTCAAGCTGATGTGCGAGGCACTGAGAACTAGAAATAAAAAAAGTGAATGAGTTTTTGCCCTCAAGGACCCAGAAAAGGAGCTCTTAGTCTTACAAACTATAGCATAAAAACGAAAACATAAACTTTGGTCCTAGTGATGACCTAGGTCATTTCACAATATTTGAGCCTGAATCCAAATTTGCAGTAATTCGGGAGGTCGCTGAAGCAACTAGACATTTTAAATGTGTTCCATGTTGTTCTGACCAGTGCTCTCCTGCTCAGCATGGTCTGCCTTTGTGTTGCAGTTGGGATTCTCAACTCCCTGGCTTCACCTTCAACGACATGTTCCTCTCCATTTCTACTCGCCTCCCCTCTCAGTACATCTATGGCTTTGGAGAAACTGAGCACACAGCTTTTAGAAGAAACATGAGCTGGAACACGTGGGGAATGTTTGCTCGCGATGAGCCACCAGCAGTAAGGACAGAGGAATAAGATTAGTAATTAGTTTGTCTCGTAGTAAATCCTTATGTACATATATGTTCATCAGCTTCATCTTACATTAAGAAATTCTGCTTACTTGTAATAGGCCACACTTCTCATTCTTGTGTCCCTGAAAGGCTTATGTGTGTATATATATATACATATATATATATTTTTTCCCCCCTGTTAACTATGGATTTATTTCACAAACTTTTATTTAATATATTCTATGTGCCAGGCACATTGCTAACTGCTTAGCTACAAATTTAATAAGACACGGTCTTTTCTCTCCAGAGGCTTATAGACTGGTGAGAGAAATAGATGCAGAAATAATGATGACACAGTGTAATCACTGAACAATGCAACGATAAACCAGGAAGGCATAAAGTAGGAGGACACAGCTTTTTACTTGGAGTGGAAAAGAGTGTTGAAGAAGGCTCTACAAAGGACGTGACACTGAGCAGAATTTGTTTTCAGAGCCTGATTGTATTGTATTTATTTATTCATTCATTTATTTTAGATTCAGGGGGTTCACATGCATATCCACTACATGGACATATTGTGTGGTGGTGGGGATTGGATCTCAGGTGGTCCATTCCCCAGATAGTGAACATTGTGCCCCGTAGGTAGTTTCTGAACCCTAGACTGCCTCCTCCCTCCCCTCTTCTTAGTGTCCCCAGTGTCTATTATTTCCCAAGGATGGAAGTAATAGAGCAGAACCCTTAATGCTGAGTAAACATTTGCTATTTGGGTTAAGATGCGGAAACAAGTTCTTGAATTTTCTCTTTTTTATTACCCCATGGGTCTCCCAGTACAAGAAGAATTCTTATGGTGTCCACCCTTACTACATGGCACTGGAGAAGGATGGCAGTGCCCATGGAGTGCTCCTGATGAACAGCAATGCCATGGGTAAGACAGAAGCACAGCCCAGTGACTACCATCAATAGCTGCAACCATTCTATTTGGATCTGGAATATCAATAGTCATAGAGACGTTTGGGGGGCAAGGAAAGTGGAAGAAGTAAACTGACTTTCCATTTACTCTTCTATTTATTCAAGGTTTAAAAAGTGCTTTGGACCCGATAATAGTTATAAAATTTTAAATAACTATGGTCCCTACTTTTGTGTAGCCTATTTTACTGTGAAATTTTGGCTCCTTTTCATAGAGTGATATAAGTTGTTGAGACTGTACATTATGTTTGGAGTACCTGCAAATCCATATCTGGTTCTAATAGAAGACTTTCTAGAAGAAGAAGCCATTAAAGAAAGAGTGAAAATATCAAATCTTAGAGCAGATTCTTTGCCTGGATGACTGATAACTCCAAGGATGCTCCTTAGAGATATATACTTTTTCTTACAGATATAACATTACAGCCCACTCCTGCCCTGACGTACCGTACCACAGGAGGGATTTTGGACTTTTATATGCTTTTGGGGCCAACTCCTGAACTTGTGACTCAACAATACACTGAGGTTAGAAGACAGTCTATCCACTGATAAATTATTAAATATTTATTGGGTATTACCATGTTATTAATACTGAAAAAAGCCAGGTGTTCTTTTTTTTTATAAACCTTGAGTGTCCCCACTAGATTATTGCTGTCTTTACTGAAAGTAGTGGTATCATTAGTCTTTCCTGAAAGTCATTAGTGTTATGGGGCTATAAAGACATTAATATTCTATCTGTCTCTTGACTGCTAAACAGCCTAAGAATCACTAATCAGTAATTACACCAAGTTCTTAGGTTTTCTAAAATGGAACTTCTTCCACAGAAGAATAGGAAAACTTCAATTACAATGTTTGTCTCATTTTGCATGCCAGTAGTTAGTTGTTCCACATTTATTGGACTTTCTTATCTTTCTTGAAGTTTCTTACATCAGACAATACTCAATAGAAATGCTAAAATTGATTCAAGTACAAGTTAACCATCTTTTTTTCCCTACTGAAGACGTCTGTCTAGATCTATTTTTCATTTTATTCTAGTTGATTGGTCGGCCAGCAATGATTCCTTACTGGGCCTTGGGATTCCAGCTGGGTCGCTATGGATACAAGAATGATACTGAAATCTCCAATTTGTATGATGCAATGGTGGAAGCCCAGATCCCCTATGTATGAACCCCTCACTCAGCTTGTTTAATTAGTTGTAGGAATTTGTGGCTAGCTGTATATTAAAATCAGCTTCATAGAAATGACTGCAGTGACTTCAGTATAAAAAATTTGTAGCTATGGAACTAGTCCTGTGTGAAACACATTGCTTTTTAAACTTATTTTATGCTACCCTTTTGAATCAAGATTCAAAACTGAGAACTGCATAAATCCTTCAGCAGTTAGTGGTGTTGGAGGATATTGGCACTCATTGTCTCATAAGTAAGATTATCCTGCAGTAGCCCTGGCTGGCTTAAGATATGACTCTGGGCAACGGCCTTGGAGAGATGGAGATCAAGTGACAAAATGAAACAAAGCAGCTAAAATGAAGCCTTCAGGTTCTCTAAAACACACATTCACACATAGGTATATCTTACAGTGACAACCTAGTTTTTCAGGAAAGCTTCAAGAAATATAGTTAATTGCTGTCAACAAGCAGAATTCCACAGACAGCATGCTCAACTCTTCTTATAATGATCATTTTTTTCAGCACTCATTTTTTTTCTGCTTTCAATTCATCTTCTGAGATTTTGGAGGATAATTCATGATTGGAAATTCAGAATAAAATAAAGTGCTACATGGTATTCTTCCCAAAGTTATTTGACACATACATGTAGTCTTAGTTTTTTTGTCAGAAGTTAGAAAATATAGGAAAATTTCAAGATGAAAAATCCAGGTATACCTTACCAAAGCAATAAATGTTAGTAATATGTTGGTTTATTCTTTTCCAAACTTTGGCTTCTGTACAAGTCTCTGTCTCTCCAAACAAGTGTCACCTAGAGTCTTAAGGCAATTCAGGTGACTATCAGGTTTAAAAGTAAAAAACACCTTTCTTTTTTTCAACTGAATATTAGCAGCTATTTTTTCAGCGATCATGGATGGAGTGAGTTTCGTGCACAGAAATCTGGGTTGGCACTGGGTAGAAAGTTACAGACATTCTAGAAAGCTATAATGTAATATAGTTCTAAATATACATAACGTCAGTCAAGTTTACTGTAGAGAAAAGCCAGATATGCAATCTCTTGTGTTTCCTAGGGAAATCTACTTGCTACTCTTGAACATTTCAACTAGCACTTTGATAGATTCACAGAATTTGAGATTTGAAGAGTATGAGAGACAAGAATTTAGGGAAGGAAAAAGGGAGAGGGCTTCCATTGGGGGAACAAAAGGACAAAGAGTGGACACAGGTCACCTGCATGCAAGAATCAGAAAGTAATTTTAATCTGCAGAATTGAAAAATTAGCACAAGGGAGTCGTGTGATGAGAAATGAAGAGGGGTCTGGGCTGGGGTCAGCAAGCAGCAAGACCTGGGGTCTGTCAGAGTAATTGGGTGCCCCATAGGAACACATCTTGCTTATTCCTTACTTAGGACGTCCAACATGTAGACATCGATTATATGAACAGAAAACTGGACTTCACCCTCAGCCCCAGCTTTCAAAACCTTGGTCTCCTGATTGAGCAAATGAAGGCAAATGGCATGAGATTTATTCTCATTCTGGTAAGTATTGAGACAGATTTGATCCCGTTTTTTGTTTCTATATCCATAGTTCCAAAATAATGCCATTGGGGAAACTAGATGAAGGTACAAGAAATGTCCCTATACATTTCTTTGCACCTACCTATGGATCTATAATTATTTTTTTAAGTTTTTAAAGGAAAATAAAGAAGGAAAGAACAAATGAAAAATTAGCTTTTAAAAGATGATACTTTGTAATATTTATTTTTCATAATTGTCACTGTGATATGAATACTGTTCTCTAGGTAGAGTTGGAACAATTGTGGACTGAAACACTGAACATAGCAACAACCAAAAAAATGTGTCTCACTGTTTCAGGCTATGCCTTCAAAGGAATAGCTGTATTTTAGACTCATATTTACCTTGGAGGATTACAAAAATCTTTTATGCTGTATCACCACCTACAATGATGAGGCTCAGGAGGCCCACTACTTAATTAAACTTATAAACAACTGAGTTAAGATCCAGAATATCAATTTATTATTTTACTATGGAAGCTTCATCTTGATAAATAAAGAGGTAGTTACCAGCAAATTATTCTTTCTCCTAGCTTCCAAAAATTAGAGCATTGCTTGGTATACTTTTGTTCATTTGTTAATTCAAGTATTTATTGAACCCTGGCTATTAAAAAATTGCTGCTCCAGAAGCTGTGTGTATGAGTTTACATGAGTATTATAAATTAGTAAGATGATGCTCCTTTTCTTATATGGTTTTGATTCTAGTGAAGGGAGATAGCCAATAAACACATACTTAAAAAGATAATTTTATATAATAATGATGTATATGACAATTGTGAAACAGCACAATATTATAGAGAGTAATTGGGGCAGGTATGAGACAGAGTGAATAGAGAAGGCTGCTTTAGGTGGATACGTTGGGACACAATACAATAAAGAAATTTCATGTTCTCTAGGAATATTGTTATTATTCTCTAGAAACACAATCATTTGGCTCTCTTTGCCTGAGGGTAATGTCTTATTAAGCTGATTTATCTCCAGAAGTTTTTCTCAAACATTAGCATGCTTTTTTTTTCTCAATAAATTTATAGAAAAACACCAGTATATTTTTGTAACTCTCAGTTATGTTTACTTTGTAGATTTGTGTGTCACTGGAAAAATCACTCATGTCATATTTCAATTTCTACAGGATTAAAAAAACTATCAGTTATATATTTGGGTGGTTACTTTCTATAAAATAGACTCCAATTATTGACACAGACTCTTCTACCCTTAGGAAGAGATTGTCCTTCATAAGGGTTGTATATCTTACTTTGGGTACCTGTGGCATTCTCCCATTTCAATTGGTGATATAACTAGTAGACACAAAGCAAATTATTCATGATTTCTTATTTTATTTTATATTTTGATATTGAGAGTTGTGATTTATTTTCACACCATGAACTATTAAATCTTTGGAGAGAAATTTCTTAGAGATATTTTCCTCATGTTTGCTGTTGTAAACTCTTTCACTGAAGGACCCAGCCATTTCTGGTAATGAGACACAATATCTCCCATTCACTAGAGGACAGGAAAGTGATGTGTTCATCAAATGGCCTGACACTAATGACATTGTCTGGGGAAAGGTAAGACTTGGGGCATGTGCCTATAATTAATCAACATCATAATGTCTTGATTTAAAAAGAGTTCTGAATAAATCTTGCAAAAATATATTGGGCAATTAATAAATCTTGAATGAGTAAGAATCAAGAATCTGTCTGATGCTGATTAGCTCAATAAACGTTAATAAGACCAAGGCTACCTACCTAATCCTCTAAAGTACTATTGAGCACTGATTTGTTGCCTAGAAATATTTTGATATTTAACAAACATTAATAACTCCTTTTGAGAATGACTCTCAAATCTGTGTCTCCCAGCTACCCACACTCAAAACATGCATGCATCTTTGACCTATGATTAGTAATATGCCTTTATATCTAAATGAATCATTAAGTCCCATAGATTCTCCTTCTTCTATTATATTGCTTAATTCTTTTTTATGACCTCAATCTTCATTTTCACTATGTCTGATCTATAGCAACAGCATTTTAGGTGGATTTCCTGACACCAGATGATAGTAGCTCTTATCCTGGATTGAAATTCTGTTCCTTAATTATACGGTGCTACTTCCTATTTCTCTGAGTACATGCTATGCTCACTTTGAATTTTGCCTTCTCAGCTTACCCAGAGAATATCTGCACTTCAAGATCAATCAAATCTTACCTTTAGAAAGCATTCAATAACTATGTTAGCTCTTCGTATTTTCTTTTTTCTGTATTATTGCCCTTAGAATAGCATACCGTGTAGTACTTATATACTATCTATGAACGCTTAGAAAACAAGCACTGTTTCGTACTTACATCTAAGTAGATAAATGCAGAAGATAAATGCCTGTCATGGGACATTTTCAATAAGTGCTTGCTGATTGAATTAATTAATGCACATAGTTAATGTTCTGCTAGTTACAGATAAAATTTTGTTAAGATATTAAGGATTTTTTTATGCTATGTATACTTGGGGCTCCCAATAGTTACAATAGTGTTAAAAATATTGAGGTTAAGTTTATGGGTTATGAAAGAAAATTAATCTTGTTTCTTTAGAGTCAAACTTCACATTTATTATTTATAAAGTGACATTGTTATAGCTCTATGAAAAACAGATAAGAGGGCTGAGTAATCGTTTGGAAGTTGATTGTTCAGAGCATATATTTAAGACATATTTAGTTAATTATTAACTTCAAAAATAAAATTTTGAAAACTGATGGAATAAGTCAAGAGACCCTACCCTACTTTCACCCTAACATAATTTTATATATTCCACCTTTTAAATTTAATTTATGGCAGAGATCCTTAAGCATTTTACAAAGTTACACGTCATTAGAGTCTAACCTTTGAAACATCTCATGGCCTATATACAATGATTCCTAAAGGTTTTAATTTTTCTTCTTCTCTAGGTTTGGCCAGACCTGCCCAATGTAAACGTAAATGGATCCCTTGACCATGAGACTCAGGTTAAGGTACAGAGTTGTACATAGATTTTTGCCAAAATTGCCCTACACATCTGGATATTTATGTTGACATTGCCCTACACATCTGGATATTTATGTTTTTTATTCTGATGTATAAGTAGCTTATCCTTTAATTACACTTGCATGTGCTTGTCCTTTGGTGGTTTCTTGGCAGAAAGAGATCCTCAAATGGAAAAGTCAACAACAGCTAAAACAGAACAGAATGGAAGGAAATCAATAGAATCTTCTCATGTGTTTGCTTTTAATGGACTGTGGTTTGTTGACATCTAATGTTGCTTGAAAAATAACAAACCAAAATGTAGAATATTTCACTAGAGTGATATCCATTGTGATCAGGTTAGATTTTAGTAAATTATCTACATACAAAGCAAAATACAAGTCAGTTGAAGGGAGGCATGGCTTAATGTCAACCTGGGCATCTAACATCCCCTGTGTTCTGGAGTTCACTTTTTCCTGGATGGCAAGTCCTTCTTCATTTCATTTGGCCAGTCTAGAAAAAGCATTTGCATCTCTAAAGTTCTATTGTTTAGAACTTAAAAAAGGGAACTTAAAATTTGTCTAAACTGCTGATAAGAAAATATAATGAAGTCACCCTTTACAGTAGTCTCTGTTTCTACTGTAAATTCTGTGCTGCTGCAGCAGATCTGAGGTTAAATCAGAGACTGAGCTGGGCAGGCACCAATTACTGCTCATCTCCCCTTTCTGTCCCCAGACTCCCCTTCCTGGGCAGGCTGAGTCCCCACCATGAGAGTACGTTTTGCTCTTACAGATGTACAAGGCCTACGTTGCTTTTCCTGACTTCTTTCGTAAAAGCACAGTGGCATGGTGGAAGAAGGAGATACAAGAGCTCTACATAAACCCTCGAGAGCCAGCAAAGAGCTTGAAGTTTGATGGATTGTGGATTGTAAGTGCACCCTTGATTGGTATTCTTTGGAAATATTAGTAGTCAAAACATTAGGAGGCAATTCAGAGACTAGTAAAGCAGGGGCCTAGGACTAGAAGGATGTAAGGAAGAAACACTGTTACAGAATCTAGGTACTGGGACCAACAGAAGCAGAGATTATTACTGGTCTGCCTAGGGACACATTGGTAGAAGTTGGAGCTCATGGAGGTGATGTGCCACTGATGGAGATTCCAGAGCAACAGGGAGAGGGAGAAATAAATACCCTGGCTTCTTTTACCTCCCACCCTCCAATCTCTTGCTAGTGTCACCCATTGGTCAAAACAACACAGAAACCAGTGATAAGAGAGACTGAGAACCCATTCTGTGACACAGAACAGAACTGGGAGTGGGAGAGGCATGATGCTGACATGAAGTAGACCTTGACCACAGTGCTGGTGCAGACTTCTCTGAGGGAATGAGTTAGAAGGCATGCTCAGATATTTGTTCTGTATGTCAGTTGCTCTAAAAGCAAGGCTTCCTGAGATGTCTCTGAGACATGTATCCAAGGGCAAGTGTATTTGTGATTTTCTAGAAATGAAAAGTCTATCAGTGTCCTGATTTTCTTCCCTACTATCCAGTGGCCTAAAATCTTAAGCAAGTTCTAGGCCAGCTCTGAGAAGCTGTTCAAGTTTGGGCCAGGCTGAAAGAAGCATATAATTCACCCAGGGACAAACCTATAAGCCCAAGGGCAGTCCTGGGGCCACCCTGGTCACTTGTACCTTTAGGATAGATAGGAACAGAGTAGACATGGAAAAGGACATAGATTAACCAAATAGGCAAATTAGACAGTGAAGAAAAGTGGGTAATTTTGAGGAATAAGAAATACTGACTGCTATGAGGTATTTTTTGAATGGAGAGAAATCTGTAACTGGCAAATTCAAAATAATAAATAATTCCCCAAATATTATACTTACCTTTGTCTTTAATATGTCCTACCTAAGATAATCAAACATTCAACATTTTAACTTTTCCACTGATAAAGTAGGCAATGAACATTCTCTCAGTAATAAATTCCCTGAAATCTTCAGACTTGTTTCTGAGTTATGTACAACGTTTTAGAAGTATATCTATGTTAGACAGTGAGACGCATCTTCTTGTGTTTAGTCCACAGTATTAGACTAAGATAGGGTAGGGGAAGATAATAGTAACCACTGGCCACAGATAAAAAGTGAGTAATCCATGCATAGGAAAACAAAACTGGGCATCTTGTGTGGGGGAAATGATCAAGAGATTTCCTCAGGCCCCAGATCCAGCAGTATCTTGTTATATTTACCACTATGAAGCAATCCTCATAAGTTTAAAAATGCCAACCAAGCGAGGACACTCTATTTTAGACCACAGAAATCCTTAGAGTTCATCTCACTCAATGCCAGGGAATAAACACAGTAAATTAAGCCACTAATATGACACAGTCATCTCCCTGAGTGAGTGTCCTCCGTAGCAAAAGCCACACTGTCCCTAACATAATGGAATTTTTTTTTTGTTAACTCATTTGAGGATATGAATGAGCCGTCAAACTTTGTGGATGGATCTGTCAAGAACTGCAACAGTGAAAGTCTAAATAAACCTCCCTATATGCCAGGTATGTAAAATAATTATTTCATCAAATTAGTCCCTGAAAGTTTTCCTCTTACTGTCAAAATGAATCCTAATTTTGAAGATAGAACACGCTCCCAAGCAAGACATGAAATCCCAAATAGAATAACCTTGAATAAGTGCAGATAAATAAATTACTAATCAGGCACAGAAATAATGACATGATGTGGTATGAAAGAAATCATATAACTCGTGCTACATTTAACTACATTGATAATTATAAACTGCAGTGCAAACAGAAATAGGATTATAGAAGCCCAGGGAAGGAAATGACTCACTTTGAAAAATACTGCACCAGGGCTGAGGTGGGAGGATGCCTTGAACCCAGGGGTATAAACCAATCTGGGTGACATAGTGAGGTTCCATCAACAAACAAAAATGCACTCTTATCTGTTTGTGGGACAAAATCTAGAATTCAAGCTTCTTGATATCTACCTCACTATTACACTGCCCATTGATCACTAAATCATTCATTTATACATTCATTCATTCATTTTTATCCTTCCTCTTTTAATTTAATACAGTCCTTGACTTACAATGATCTGACAATGATTTCTCAACCTTATGATGTTATAAAAGCGATATACATTCAGTAGAAATTGTACTTTGAGTACACAGACAACCATTCTATTTTTCAGTCTCACTATAGTATTTGATAAGTTACATAAGATATTCAACCACGTTATTACAAAATAGGCCTTGTGTTAGATGATTTTGCCCAACTGTAGGCTAACGTAAGTGGTCTGAGAACATTTAAATTAGACAGAGTAGATTAAATGGGTTTTCAACTTACAGTACTTTCAGCTTGCAATGGTTTTATTGGGATTTAACCCAGTAAGTTGATGGTCAAGTGCTGAAAAATCAGAAAAATTTAGAGACGCTAAAGCAGAATTGAGTGAAACAGAGATTTATTCTCTTGAGAACATTGCCATCTGGTGGAAGAAACAGTACTAACAATGAAGGAGTTTATTATGCTGACAAATGGGCTATGATAGGCCTCTATAAATTGTCAAGTTGGAGCAAGAAGAAAGGGGGCTGCTTTTCCCAGCTTGATACTCTCTCCTTACCCTTCATTCGTTATAAAGCCACAGGATGTTGATTCTGTAGACTAAAAATCTCTTTAAATTAGACCTGTTACTGGCAGCAAAGCTGATTGAAATAGAGAAATGCCAAAATGATGGGCATTTCTAGTGAACGTGCAAATAATGTTGTTTGGAAATAATTCAACATTTCCCCTCAGATTTGGAGTCCAGAGAGAAAGGCCTAAGCAGCAAGACCCTGTGCATGGAGAGTCAGCAGGTTCTGCCAGACGGTTCCATGGTGTGGCACTACAACGTGCACAGCCTGTATGGGTGGTCCCAGACCAGGCCCACATATGAGTGAGTGTGTTTTCATCACTGGCAGCAAAGAACATTTTTTTCATGTTACTTTTGTTATTTCATATTTGCATTGTATAGTATTTACATGATGCCAGTTAAATGTATTAATGTTGAAGTATCAGGTCTTGTTGCCCAAGCAACACAATATGTCTAAGTTCATTTATCAAGAAGGTTGCTAAATTCACCTATTTGAAGTGAGCAGTTAGGAAGTGTATATAATATGTTCACAGAGTTGTGCTGCTCTCACAAAAATAAAATTTTAAATCATTTTTAGCACTCCAAAAGGAAAATCTTTAATCATTAGCAATTATTCCCCCTTGTCCCTACTTCCTGAGCCCCAGCCATTACTAATCCTCTTTCTGTCTATATAGATTTCTGCCTATTGTGGACATTTCATGTAAATGGAACCCACAAAATGTGGTCTTTTGTGTCTGGCTTCCTTCACTTGGCATAATGCTTTCAAAGTTCATCCATGCTGTAGAATGCATCAGTAGTGATTTCCTTTCACTGATGAATAGTATTTCATTATGTAGGTATACCGTATTTTGTTTATCTATCTATTAATAAGTGAACATTTAGATTGTTTCTATTTTTTGTCTGTTATGAATGGTGATGCTAGGAATATTCATGTGCAAGATTTTAAGTGGAAATGTGTTTTCTTTACCTTGAATATATACCTAGGAGTGGAACTTATGAGTCATATAGTAACTGTAAGTTTAGTGTTTTGAAGAAATGTCAAACTGTTTTCTAAAGAAACTGTGCCATTTTACATTCCCATCAGCAGTGCATGAGGGAATTATGAGGTTGCACTTCTTTGCCAACAATTGGTACTGTTCATCTTTTAAAATTATAGACTTTCTAATAGGTGTGAAGTGATATCTAATTGTTCTTTTGACTTTATTTCCCTAATGACTAATGTTGTTAAGTATCTTTTCAAATGCTTATTGTCTGTTTGCATATTTTCTTTGCAGAAATGTCTACACAAATCCTTTGCTCTTTTAAAATATAATTATTTGTCTTTTTATTATTAAATTGTAAAAATTCTTTATATATTAGGAATACAAGTCCCATGTGAGACATATAATTTGCAAATACTTTCTTTCATTCTGTAGGCTTTGAACTTCCATAACGATGCTCTTGGAAGTACATCTAAAAAAGTTTTTTATGAAGTCTTCTTTATCCATTCATTCATTACTTGTGCTTTTGGTGTCATATTCAAGAAACTATTGCCTAACTCAAGGTCATGAAGATTTATTTCTATTTTTTTTAAGAGTTTTATAATTTTAGATATTACAATAAGATCTATGACCCATTTTGAATTGATTTTTGTGTCTGGTGTGAGATAGGGGTTCCATTTTATTCTTTCCCATGTGGAAAATATCACTCTTTCCTCCATTTTATTGTATTGGATCTTATCAAGAATCAACTGATAATAAATAAGAAGGCTCATTTCTGCATTCTCAATTCTACTATACCAGTCTCTCTCTAGCCTTATGCCAGTATCACGATGTCTTAATTAATAAAATGTCAATCTTCCAGTTTTGTTCTTTTTAAAGATTGTTCTGGCTATTATGGGTCCCCTGCATTGGATATAAATTTTAGAATCAGCTTGTCAATTTCTACCAAATAGTAACAAGGATTTTGATAGTTTTATATTAAATCTGTAGATCAATTTGGGGGTGTTGCCACTTTAAAAATATGTCTTCTCGCCGGGCACGGTGGCTCAAGCCTGTAATCTCAGCACTTTGACAGGCCAAGGCGAGAGGATTACCTGAACTCAGGGGTTCAAGATTAGCCTAGGTAACTTGGTGAGACCTCGCCTCTACAAGACATCAAAAAATAAGCCGGGCGTGGTAACGTGTGCCTGTAGTTTCAACTACTTGGAAGGCTAAGGCGGAAGGATCACCTGAGCCCAGCAGGTCGAGGCTGCAGTGGCCGTGAGCGTGCCACTGTACTGCACTCCAGCTTGGGCGACAGAGACTCCAACTCAAAAAAATATATATATGTTTCTGACCCATTCACATGAGGTGTCTTTCTCTTTATTTAGATCTTTAATTTCTCTCAACAATTACTTGTAGATTTCAATGTATGCATTTCTGGCCATTATTTATATAAATATTTTTCTGCCCATTTTTTCTTTCTTTTCTCCTTCTGAGATTCCTATTAAACCATATATTGATACTCTTGATAATGCCCCACAAGTTTCTGAGGCTCTGTTCATTTTTCTTTATCTTTCCTGTTCCTTATATTGGATCATCTCTTTTGACTTATCTTCAATTTACTGGTTTTTCTCTTTCACCAGTTCAAACCTGATGTTGAGTCTGGTCCTCCTGGTGAATGTTTAATTTCAATTATTATATTTTTCCACTCCAGAATTTCATTTCTATTTGGTTTCTCCTTTAATAATTTATAATTATTTATTGATATTTTTTCTTTAGTGAGACATCATTATCATGCTTTCCTTTAATTTTTTAGATATGTTTTCCCTTAATTCTTTAAACATATTTATAACAGCTCATAAAAAGTCCTTATCTACTAAGTGCCCCCAGCAACATTTTCTTTTGGCACCTTTTTTTGAGTATATGAATTATTTTTCTATTTCATTTTATGGCTTAATTTTCCTTGTTGACAACTGAACATTTTATTTTTTTATTAATTTTTTTATTTTAAAGATGTGAGGTACAATTCAGGTTAGGTATACAAATGTTCATGTTGTATGAGGTGTTGAGGTGTTCCCCTCCCTCCTTCAACTGCCAATCCCATCCCCCTCCCCTGGCAGTTTCCTGCTACTCCCAAACTCTTTCTTATAGTATTACAGTAATTGTTCAAGGTCTGCTTACGCGTGAGAACATATGGTACTCTGTTTTTTGTTTCTGTGATAGATCATTGAGTATGATAGCTCATATCCATCCAAGTTGCTGTGAAATCCACGTTTGTCTTTCTTTATGGCTGCATAATATTTCATTGTGTATATGTATCACATCGTTAAAATCTAGTCCTGCTTCAATGGGCAGCATGGTGGGTTCCATGTTTTTGCTATTGTGAATACAGCTGCAACAAACATGCATGTGCAGGTATCTTTTTGGTAGAATGACTTGAGTTCCTCCAGGTATATACCCAATAGGAGGATTGCTGGGTCATATGGAAGACCAATTTCTAATTCTTTCAGAAATCACCACACTGTCTTCCAAAGAGGACAACTGGACATTTTAGATAATAAATTGCAACAACTCTGACACATATTCCTCCTACATACCCTGCAGGATTTGTGTTGTTACTGTTCTTCTTGTTTTACTTGTTGTTGCTTATTTGTTTAGCCTTTTCTGGCTATTTCTTTAGATTCTATATTCCCCTGCAAACAAACGTGGCTACTAAGTTATCTGCTATCTTTTTAAAAGTTTTTAAAATTTTTTTTATTTTAAGCCTCATTTCTTTGGGGGTATCCCTGGATCAGTACAATGTAGTGGTCAACCAATGATTGTTCAAAAGATTTTCTTGTCCAAGAAAAACTTTCACCAGATAAAGTTAAACAGACAAGGAAGGCTTGATTCAAAGCAATTACAGTAGAGAAAGGCCTGATCTCAGTTTGAGTTCAACACCATTGGAACAATGGTCTGCAGAGTATTCGAGAGTTGGGGTGGGGAAAATGTAGGCCACATGTATTTGTTAATTGACCTTACTCAAAGGGAAGGTAAACTTTCTTCTGCCTTCATGGCAGAGTAGCTTTACAACGTGAACTCAGGTGACCCTGCCGAACTCAGGCTCCTTTCCTCCTCCAGAGACTGGGAGATAGGGGCACTATCTTCCTGTATGGTTGTTACATTTCAGATAGATGGCTCCAGGTCCTTGAGAAAGACATTCTGGCAAGCAGCCTTTAAGAAGACTTACATCTAAAAGTGACAGACAAAGAATTTACAGTTATATTTTTGCTAAAACAAATACTGTAAGAATGGGAGGTTAGGGGCCTAAGAGCCAGGAAAAAGCTTTGTCTATAGTTTAGTTACATTGAAGGGAACTGTAAGGCCATTTCAGTCACCTTCAATGCCTTGAAGATCCCTGATGGAATCTGTGTGAACAGGACACATTCCAACTTCAGGAAGTTTGTAAGACAGCCTTACTTTGAATTTCTTGCTTGCTCAGGGCCTCAAATTCAGCCAGTAGATGGCATCTTCTCCTTTCGTGGTTTTTTTCTGGGGAGACAGCCTTGTGCATATGCAGCTCTAGATCTTGAATAATATGTCCGAGCTTTCTAAAGTTCTCTACGGTTCTAATTCTACAAAATTAACTTTAGATTTCCAGCCAAGCTTTTGTTTGCCCAATTAAGATCATGGCCTTAGTTGCCACACATTGACACTTTTTGGTAATGGTAATTTCCTGAAAGTGAAGATGCTGGCTCTTGTTTCCTGTGACATTGAGCTGGAGAAGGGGTAGGGTGAGACTAACCCCATGTTAAAATACCACAGACCTCACTGTCTGGCTAAGACTTGGTAGTTTCTCTTGGTTAGGTGATTTTCAATCCTTTCTATGGCTGATTAGTTTCTTGAGTTTTGAAATGGTTGATTTTAGTTGTTCTGTTTTCATCATTTAGTGGGAGAATGAGTTTACTACAGATATCTTCATTCCACCATTCCAAAACCTTTCATGGTTCTGATTTAAAGATTATTACTTATTAGTTTTAGTTAGATTTTTCTGTAGATGTTGTCTTATTTAAAAACACTTTAAGTACTTTTATGTGCAGAAAACTTCTCAGAGATCTAAGTGCTATAGGTATAATATAGTCACCATTTTCCAGAGTCATAGGAAAATTTCAGATTTATTCTTTCATTTCTTCCCAGGACAGAGTATGATATTTTCTATTTATATGTCCATTGCTGCTCAAAGTGTCTAAGCCTTCTGCCCTCTTTCCTTGGGGCTTATGAGAATCCCAGACTATTTGATTCTAGGCTATCCACAGGTGATGAATCAAAGTGGTGTTCCACACTCAGAGATACTTGGTCTTGGTCTTCCTAACAGATCTTCTTCCCTTTCACTTTATTTTTACATCTTCATCTTTCAGTTGTTCTTCCACAGTCTATTTTCCTTTCCCTAGCTTTGTTACAGTTCAAGTAATGCTCCGCTCCTCCCCTTGATACCAATACATCAAAGAGTCAGGGAACTGGTAGAAAGAAGTTTATTTCTGAGTTTGAATACAGAGAACAGAGTGGGACTCAAGTTTAGCCAGTAGATGGCTCTGCTTGCCCTCCGAGCTTTTACAGTTCACCTCTACAATCCAGAGTTGTCAATACCTATACATTTCTAAAATGACTCTGCTTGCCCTCCAGGCTTTTACAGTTCACTTTTACAGTCCAGAGTTGTCAATACCTATACATTAGCCAAGTGACCAGCAGAGCCTTGTACAGAACTTAAGTTACAGTTGCATTTTATATTTAGTGACATTTAGAGTAAAGAAAGCTTACAAGGCCTCAGATATAATGCATTGCAAAAGTTATGCAAATTACAAGACTTAAGATTACATTGATACTATGTGGCTCAAAGAAAGGGAGTAAATAGGGATTTACATCTCTGGGGATGGTCTGCTGGGAAGTCCCAGATCCCCTGAAGCTAATTACCGGGAATGCGCAGAAGACAAGGGGATTTTCAGTAATGTGCTCAGTAATGTGCAGGAGTGCTTGAATCCCCCCCGCTGTGCCCTTCTCTAGGGGCTTTGGCAATATGGACGGACATTAGTGGGTCTCTGTATCAGCTTGAGGGCTTCTGACCAGGGAAAAACTGTTTTTTTCAGGAAAACATGTATATCAATATGCAAAATACACAAAAAACAGATAGAGGTCTTACAGCTTCAGACATAACCTTACTTAAGAAATATACAAGGATAAATAAGTCACAGTATTTGCTCTCAAGGACCTCATTGTCTGCTTAGAGGAGTCAAACAATAAAAGGGGAAAACAACTAACCCTATTGGGATAATTCAGAAAGACATCATAGAAGTGACATTTGAATGTCTTTTACGGAAGAGTAGAGATTTTCTTTCACAAAAAGGTGCTTGCAGGGCAAAGAAAGCAGCACTATGAAGACATAATAACCTGGTAGAGTTTCTGGCACCCTTCCTACATGCCATTCCCTCCTCCCTCTGCAGGGGAATTTGTCATTCATACAGTCCCTCCCCATCTTTGTCTTCATGGATGCCTGCCCCACAAATGATCCCTCTCCTCTCCATGGACGTCATTTCTTCATGAATTGTTTTTATCTTCCCTCTACTGATATAGTAGCTCATTAATGCCACTTACTAGTTAAGCTTTTCCATCTTTTTTTTTTTTTGAGTTGGAGTCTCACTCTGTCGCCCAGACTGGAGTGCAGTGGGCCGCTCCCAGCCACTGCAGCCTCGCCTGCTGGACTCCAGGATCCTTCTGCCTCAGTCTTTCAAATAGCTGGAACTGCAGTCATGTGCTACCATGCCCAGCTAATTTTTTGATTTACTGTAGAGATGACGTCTCGCCAAGTTGCCCAGGCGGGTCTCGAACCCGCGGGCTCAGGCAATTCACTCACTTCGGCCTCCCTTAAGCACTGGGATTACAGGCTGAGCCACAGAGCCCAGCAGCTTTTTCATCTTTCAACTAACTAAAATTAAATGATAAAATTAACCCACAAGTACTTGGCATATTACAAGCACTCTTAACACCAGCAGTTTTTTTTTCTTATTCCTTACCATCAGCAATTGAAAATGTCCCAATCTTTCTGGCTTTGACCCATATCCTACTCCAAGTATCATCTAATCTCTCTACTTCCCTTCATATCCAAGCTGTTTGAAGGAGCTATCTATGCATGCTACTATTTTTTTTTCTTCCCGTACATCTTGATTTTTCTTTACTAATCACATGTGCTGATCATTCCAAGTTTGACCTGGCTAACCTCTTAGCACATACAATCTAAAGACAGGTTTGAATCTATTTCTTCCATGAAAACCTTTCAGATTACTCCATCCCGTCTATTTCTCCCCTTCTCTTAACTATTAACTTTGAAGTATGGTCCATATTTTAACACTTATCTCCTCTATACACTTTGTTGAGGGACAAGGCCCATGTCTGCTTTGTTGTTTACTGTCTAAGCACTGAACCATTTCTATTTCCTCTTATGAAGATGCCTTTCTTTGCCAGCCCTTAGTGCCTACGTTGATCGGGGAGCTCACAGCTCAGGACAGTGGTCAGTTTTGTTTACTGACACTAAAATCTGACAAGTTTTAGTCTGAACAAATGAAAGAATGGGCTGCTGATCTGCATGCTGCTCCCTCTGCTGACATATGATCTTCCTTGTCCTTTTGCTAACCTCACAGAGTCTTGACTGGGCTTTCCCACCTAGATTCAGGATGTTTATGCATTTATTTCACTAGCCTCAGCTTCAGAAGCTTGTTTGCAGGTTCTCCTTCCAGTCCTTTCAAGCCTGTGTTCCTCCTAAGGTGGGGTTCAGTCATTTTCTTTCACACTATATAGCTGTTCTCTTGGGTGAACACACTAACGGCTTTAAATACACTTGCATGCAGATAACCCCCTAATCTATGTTTTCAGCCCAGACCTTTCTCTTGAGCTTTGAACCTAGAATTGCCCATTGATGTCTATTTATGTTATTCCACGGGCACTACAAGCCTAATATTTATAATGTTGAAATTCATCTATCTTTCCCTTAAACCTGCTCTTCTACGTTCTTTATTCAAGTAAATGTAACCAAGCCGAAATGGTCATTTAGGTCATTCTAGGTTCTTCCTTCTTTTCCCACTTTCAGCCAGTAACGAAGTTCTTTGCATCCCTCACATTCATCCTTGCTCTGTATCCCTGCCTTATTCCAGGCCTTCGTTGTCTCTTATCTAGACGATTATGAAACAATCTAAGTATTCCCACGGCCATTTCTTTTTTTTTTAATTCTTGAAAAAAAAATTGTTTGTATTGTTTTTAGAGACAGGGCCTTACTCTGTCACCTAAGCTGGAACGCAGTGGTGTAGTCATAGCTCACTGGAGCATTGAACTGGGCTCAAATGATCTTCCCACCTCAGCCTCCCAAGTAGTTGGGACTACAGGAGGGCCACTGGGCTTGGCTAATTTTTGCATTTTTTGTAAAAATGGGGTCTCGCTTTGTTGCCCAGGCTGTCATAAATTTCCAGGCTCTTGCTATTAACAGCTTCAGCTGGGATTATAAGCATAAGCCACCGCACCTGACTTCTGCACCTCCATTTCTTTACCACATAGACACACATGCACACATATACATACTTCTAACTTGCGTACAATTAAATCTATACTTTCACCTCATTAGGTTTTTTTCCCCATTGCTTTTATTTTTTGAAATTTTTTAAATTATAGAAATCAGATGGTTTATATTTCCTTTCAATTTTAATAGAGTGTGTGTGTGTGTGTGTGTGTGTGTGTGTTTGTGTATCTCCATTCATTCTTCATTTTGGTGTAAAATATTAGAAATGGGCTAGTTCCTACCACAGTAGCTAGCTACTATTTGTGACATCATTTATTGAATAATTCATCCATGTCTATTGATTCATGATGCTTTCTTTAGCAAATATTTGAATTGCATATGTACTAGGATCTGTTAATAGACTTTCTCTTTTTTTCCATTGATTTTTTTCTCCCACACAGTTGTTTTCATTTTCTAAGTATGCATGAAGATGCTGCATCTTCCACTGAGGAATATTTAAATATCTGCCTGTATTTGCAAAACATATCTGACTTTTTGAGGTATAAGATGGTAGAGTGACCATTACCCAAAAAACTAGTTCTTATCTGGATCTCAGATCTGCCTCTTTAAATAATCTTTGATAAGTAACAGTAAGAAGAGTGCAAGGAAACCTTATTCACAAAGTTGAGAAACAGTACACATGAAAGTGACCAATACAATACCAGGATAGGAGAATTGTTCCATAAATAGCTGTCCTACTCCTCATTCTCACTCCTTCCTCTTACCTCCATGGAGATAACTAATTAATTAGATTTTAAAAATAAAACCCACATTCTTGTTACAGATGTATTTCTAGTCTTGCTGTGAAGTTCATTGGGAATCTCAGCATTGCTTTTAGATAACAGATTGTCCCTGGGAAGAAGTTCTCTGCCTCAGAATGGAGTACTACAACCACTCCATGCTCCAAGTTGCAGCTACTCAAAGTAGTGAAGTTCTGTAGCTGTCTAGTCTCAAATTCACCTTCAATTCACCTTCTTGATTTCCTCCAACCAGAGCCGTACAGGAGGTGACAGGGCAGCGAGGGATCATCATCACACGCTCCACTTTTCCTTCTTCTGGCCATTGGGGAGGACACTGGCTGGGAGACAACATGGCTGCCTGGGACCAGCTGGGAAAATCTATCATTGGTATGTGGGTTCATTCCCATGGGCCTGTCCTGGGAGAGAGGAGACTGAAGAGTGTGCTATTCAGCAGCACTAGTTAGGTCTAGGTCATCATCTAGCTGGACAGTAAAATCATCAAGAGTTGAGTACTCTATGGGCATGATTTTTAATTTATACGTATCTTTCAACTTTTTCATGATGAATCGCCTGGAGCTTTCGTTTTGTTTTCTTTTGTTTTGTTTTTTTGAGTTGGAGTCTCACTCCATTGCCTAGGCTGGAGTGCAGTGGCATGTTTACAGCCACCCCAGCGTCGACCTGCTGGGCTCAGGCAATCCTTCCACCTCAGCCTTCCAAGTAACCGAAACTACAGGTGACACTACCATGCCCAGTTAATTTTTGATTTATTGAAGAGACGAGGTCTTGCCAAGTTGCTGGGGCTGGTCTCGAACCCATGGACTTAGGCAATTCACTCGCCTTGTTCTCCCAAAATGCTGGGTTTATAAGGTGAGCCACAGAGCCCGGCCAGCCTGGAGCTTTCTAATGCGGTAACAAAATGTCAGGCCAAACTTCCCCTGTCCCCCCGAAGTGTTCCTTTACCCAACACAGTCACGTCTTCTCCTTGCAGGCATGATGGAATTCAGCCTCTTTGGAATACCTTATGTAAGTCACACTGGGGGCCATTACTAATTACCCAGCCAGATTTCAGTGAGTCAGCAACTCTCAAAATTCTCACTTTACACTCTCATTTTGCATCTTTTCAGACAGGCGCAGATATTTGTGGGTTCTTTGGAGATGCTGAATATGAGATGTGTGTTCGCTGGATGCAGCTGGGGGCCTTTTATCCATTTTCCAGAAACCACAACAACATCGGGACAAGGGTGGGGCAACTGTTCATGTTGAAAGTGTTTTGCTTCATGGTGAAGGTGTTCTGTACCTTCAAATCATAACTTATTTTTGATCCTCATGCATATCATAAAAATCATAAAAATCACCAGAATCTTAATTTCTTAGAAAACCCACAGAGTTCAGAACCCCAGAGTTATCAATAATTTTTAAGAATATACTTTTCCTCATCTCCCAGGGAATTTGTTCCTATGAGAATATAAGTTTTTACAGCTTTCCATGGGGTTGAAATTAAAAAAAAAGCTGCCTTTGCTTTTACAGTTACTGAATTTGTATTATATTCAAATTCATCCAAGATGTGTCAGTTCTACTCCTTGAACTGCATAGAGACCTAGCTCACCACGCATGGGCAGGTCCAAAGCCAGGCTTGTTCAGCAGGCTTAGGTATGATAATAAGGAATGGGAAGCAAGAAATTCTATTTTTTTAGGGTGACAGGGATGGGGGAAGACTAGAAATGGAGAGAGAAGTGGTGTGTAATCTACATATGGAATAAGTACCTGCTGATTATTTTCTGATATGGCACTAGTGTGATCTGTTATATACTCCCTTATCCCTACAGAGACAAGATCCTGTGGCTTGGAATTCAACCTTTGAGATGATCTCCAGAAAAGTTCTCCAAACCAGATACACACTGCTGCCTTATCTCTATACTCTAATGCATGAAGCTCATGTAAAGGGCAGCACTGTCGTGCGGTCTCTTCTCCATGAGTGAGTACAATCTCTTTCCCCAAGCAGCAGGCTTGGGTGTGTATTGTAAATAACCCTCTGTGATAGTCATCAGAATATGGGTGAATTTCTTACACTTGTTTTTTAAGGTTTACAGATGACAAAACAACATGGGATATATACAATCAGTTCATGCTAGGTCCTGCCATCTTAATCAGCCCTGTGCTGAAAAGTGTGAGTTGTTTTTTGTTTTATTATTATTATTATTTAATCTTAGACAGAAAATCCTTCAATCACATAATCTAAAATCACAGGAAAAGGATTTTAAAGATCATACTTGTCTTGTCCAGCTCATTATTTTCAGGCAAATGCCTTTGTAGGATCTAAAGAGGATCTTTTTCTTTTTTCTTGATCTCCCTTAATGAAAACCGCACAACACTGATTGATTTGTCATTTTAGAATTTTGTCATCCTAAACACCCTTTTAAAATTTACATTTTTTTAAACATATTTTTATTTTAAAATTGTGGAGTACAGTTAAGGGTTAGGTATATAAATATGCATCGTTCAGGCATCCTTGTTGATAAGGGGTGTCCCCCGTCCCCAGAGAGATATTGACTACTGTTAATCCCACCACCCTTGCCCTCCCTGCCGCCCCCCATGGTTTTCCACCACTGTCGATCCTTTTCTTATAGTATTATGATAGATGTTCAAGGTCCACTTATGAGTGAGAACATGTGATACTCAGATCTTTGTTGCTATGAAAGACCACTCAGTATTATAGACTCTAGTTTCATCCAGGTTGCTGTGAAATTCATGATTTTGTTCTTTTTTATAGCTGCGTAGTATTCTATCATGTATATGTACCACATTTTTTTAATCCAGTCCTCTTTTGATGGACAGCATGGTTGGTTCCAGGTTCTTGCTATTGTGAACAATGCTGCGATAAACATACGTGTGCAGGTATCTTTTTCATAGAGTGATTTGAGTTCTTCAGGGTGTATTCCCAGTAGGGGGCTTGTGGGGTCATATGGGAGGTTGGTATTTAGAGTTTTTAGGAATCGCCATACTGCTTTCCACAGAGGTTGCACTAGTTTACACTCCCACCAACAGTGTAGCAGTGTTCCCTTTTCACCACATCCTCTCCAGCATCTGTTATTTTTTGAGTTATTGATAATTGTCATTCAGACTGGAGTTAGGTGGTATCTCAGTGTAGTTTTAATTTGCATCTCCTTGATGATTAGTGAGGTTGAACATTTCTTCATGTGTCTGTTGGCCGCTCTTATGTCTTCTTTTGTGAAGTGTCTGTTCATATCTTTTGCCCACTTTGTAATGGGGTTGTTTGTTTTTTCTTTTCAGTATGTTTGAGTTTCTTGTAGATCCAAGATGTTAGGCTTTTGTCAGACATGGAATTGGCAAATACTTTTACCCAGTCTGTAGGCTGTCTCCCTGCTCTCTTGATGGTTTCTTTGGCTTTGCAGAAGCTTGTGAGTTTAATGAAGTCCCACTTGTCTATCTTATCTCTTATGGCTCGTGCGTTTTGGGTTTTGTTCAGGAATTGAATGCCAGTTCCAACTTCCAAAAGGGGGTGTCCTGCATTTTCTAAAGTTCTTATGGTTTGGGGTTTTACATTTAGGTCTCTGACCCATTTAGAGTTAAATTTTGTGTATGGGGATAGATAGGGGTCTTGTTTGAGTCTTCTGCATGTGGTCAGCCAGTTTTCCCAGCACCATTTACTGAATAGGTTCTCCTCTCCCCAGTGGTAGGTGGTGGAGGCTTTGTCGAGGACGAGTTGGTTGAGAAATTGAGGTTTTGCTTCTGGAATCTCAATTCTATTCCATTGGTCTATATGCCTGTTCCCCAATACCAAGCGGTTTTGATTATTGTAGCTTTAGAGTAAAGTTTGAAGTCTGATAATGTGATATCACCTGCTTTGGTTTTTTTGCTGAGGATTGTTCTGTCTATTCTTGGTCGTCTGTGTTTCCATATAAATTCCTGTATTGTTTTTTCTAGGTCTGAGAAGAATGTTGCTGGTTATTTGATGGGTATTGCATTGAATCTGTAGATTGCCTTAGGTAAGGGGGACATCTTCACAATGTTGATTCTTCCAATATCTGATTTTTCCACTTGTTTGTGTCATCTTTGATTTCTTTGAGCAGTGTTTTGTAGTTTTCATTGTAAACATTTTTCACATCCCTGATTAGGAAGATGCCAAGGTATTTCATATTTTTGTGGCAATTCTGAGTTGGGATTGTGCTTTTTATTTGGGTTTCTGTTTGTTTATTATTAGTGTAAAGAAATGTGATTGTCTTTTGCACATTTACCCTGAGACTTTGCCAAAGTCCTTTATCAGTGCAAGAAGGCTTTTGACAGATTCTCTTGGGTTTTCAAGGTACACAATGATGTCATCTACAAAGAGAGATAACTTGATTTCCTCTTTTCCTATTGGATACTCCTGATCGCCTTCTCTTTTCTGATTGCTCTAGCCAGGACTTCCAATACTATATTGAACAGGAGGGGAGAGAGTGGGCATCCTTGTCTTGTTCCAGTTTTCAGGGGAAATGGTTCCAATTTTTGTCTGTTTAGGAATATGCTAGCTATGGGTTTCTTGTAGATGACTTTTACTATTTTGAGGTATGTTCCATGTATGCCTAGATGTTTGAGGATTTTTATCAAGAAGGGATGCTATATTTTATCAAAAGCTTTTTCTGCATCTAGTGATATAATCATGTGGTTTTTGTTCTGACGTCTGTTGATGTATTTAATTACATTTATTGTCTTGTGAATGTTGAACCAGCCTTGCATCCTAGGGATGAAGCTTACTTGGTCATGATGGATGATTTTTGAGATGTATTGTTGAATCCGGTTTGCTAGGCTCTTGTTGACAATTTTAGCATCTATGTTCATCAAAGCTATTGGCCTGTAGTTCTCTTTCCTTGTTGGGTCTTTATCTGGTTTGGGTATCAATGTGTTGTTAGCTTCATAAAACGATTTGGGGAGAGTTTCATCTTTCTCAATCGCCTGGAATACTTTCAGTAGAATTAGTATCAGCTCCTCCTTAAATGTCTTGTAGAATTCTGATGGAAAGCCATCTGGTCCAGGGTTTTTTTGTAGGTAGTTTTCTTATTACATAGTCAATTTCTTTGATTGTTATTGCTCTATTTAGGGTCTTGATTTCTTCTTGTTTCAACCTAGGCAGGTTGTGTGATGTCAGAAAGTCTTCCATTTCC